AAATTGTTATCATGACTGTCACAACTGTAAAGGTAGAAATTTTGTAACATAAAGAGGGGAGTAGTTAATCTTACAGTCCAGGAATAGAGGACCCTAGGACCATCAAGGGAGAAGAGCACGAACCAAATGTGGGACTGTATCCAGAGAAACAGCCAGAGATGACCACACGGAGAGAGAGAGAGCAGCTGAGGACTCTAGACTCATGGAACGAGAAAGGCTGTGTGCTGGCGGCCAGGAGGCAGGCTTGCAGACTGTGCCCTTTGGCTGTGTAAATGATTATATATTCCTGAGTGTTTTTGTGTACCTCCCCCCACAAAAAACAAACAAACAAACTCGGGGAAAAGAAGCAAATACTGTTGAATAATGATACATGGAGGAGACTGTAATCGTTGCAATGAAGTAATGAGTGTAAAACCGATGTTCTCCCATATAAACGATCACTGAATTCACAGTGAAAACTTAGAGAAAAAAAACTCTCTAGACTCCTGGTGTGGCACTGTAGAATAAGCACTGGGCTGTAAACCACAAGATCAGCGGTTCAAATCCACTAGTCGCTTCTTGGAAACCCTATACAGGGTTGCTGTGGGTTGGAACCGTCTCAATGGCACTTAACAACAACAACAAGAACTATCGATGTGGGAGCAAAGTGACAACAGAAACTTGAATGGAATCTGAGGAGGCAGTGAGTGTGGTACTTTAGGTTTTGTGTCAACTTGACTGGGCCAGGCATCTCAGTGGATTCGCAGTGAAGATGTAATTATTCCCCGTGATAAGATCTAATACAATGCAATCCTTCCCCCATAATGTGATCTAACAAGATCAGCCCTCATCTGATGTAATTATCCTATGTGTTGCAAATCCTCCCTTCCATGATGTTAATGATGCTAACCATCTACCCGATTAGGTTGTATCTTGAGTCAATCTCTTGAGATATAAAAGGAGAGAGAAGTGAGCAGAGAAAGAGGGACCCACTGTCACCAAGAAGGAAGAGCAAGTAGTAGACTGGGATCCCTGCACTGTGAAGTTCCTACAGCCAGGGAAAGACTGATGCCAAGATACGTGGAGATCGCCAAGGAAGGCTGGGCCTACAGATGCCAGAAGGAGACAAACACCTTTCCCCAGAGCTAACAAAGAGAGAAAACTTTCCTACAGAGCCAACACTCTGAATTTGGACTCCAGCTTCCTAAAGTGTGAGAGAATAAATTTGTTTGTTGAAGGGTCATGGTACTTCTGTGCTAGCAACACTAAGACAATGAGTTTGTATTCATGGCGGAGGAACAACTCAGAAAGGGAGGATGAGGATGGTCACACAACCCAAAGAATGCCATCAATGTCCCTGAATTGTGCACGGAGAAACAGTTGAAGTGTGTTATGTTTTGCTGTGTATATTTTCAGCAGCAACAACATAAAATAAACAGAAAAGAAAGAAAACAAACCTCCTAGATCACAATGGTCCCATCAGCAATCACAGGGACGGTGCAGGAGAGGGCAGCATTTCATCCCTTGGTGCATGAGTCCGGCTTAACTCAGTGGCAGCAGCTAAGTACAACCAATGTCCCATGGTTGTGATGTCCTCTGTTCTTGTTGGGACCCTGACCGTTCTGAGGGCTCAGCCTGTCCCTGGAGTTAATGCTAAGCGGATCCTTTCCTTGCACAAACTCATCTGGCCCTAGGCTGACTGAGCTGTTGTACCCTTACTTAAGATGGGAACACAGGCTCAGAGAAGGACTGACAATGCATTCTGGCTAGAATATGAACGCAAGCCCTCCTCATTCAATGCTCGGATGCTCCCGCTTCTCGTCAACCACCTGGGCCCTGGCTACTCCTATTTCTGTCGATATTTTGGAAGAATTCTCAAAACAAACTTGGGGCCAAGTCAACCCTATGTACCCACTGCCTGCTCAGCCAATGGGGTCCAGAAGTTGGACAGGGATCGATTTCTCAGAGGTCAGCGAGAGAGTTGCCTTGTCTATTGTGGTCTAAAACACTCAAGGGAAGAGAGTGGATGGAGACCAAAAGGGACTGAACAGTCTCTGGGCTTGACAGCTTAGTGGCCATATGACCTTGGGCTACTGGGAAGGAGGAAGAAGTTAACAATGCCCAGCTCAGAGCATGGATCAGCAATTCTTAAAGTGTGGTCTGGGGACCCCTGGGAGCTCCCAAGCTCTTTAGAGGCACTGCATGATCATAGCTATTTTTATAAAAATGCTAAGATGCTATTTCCCTTTCTCCTTTCATCTTGTCCCAAGCATACAGTGGAGTTTCACAGCGATCATGTGACCTGTGCTCCCAGAACAAATGGGATGCAGAAACAGACATGAGAATCCAGCTTCCTTCTCTGAAGCCAGACATTAACGAGGGTTATAAAACTGAAAAGCAAGACCAGTCTTCCAAGGTATTTATAATTCTTCTTCTAAAAATATGTTATAGGTGTCACTATTTTATAGACTTTTTAAAAATGATTCAATAATTCTAAGATGTGTCAGTTTTAATACAGTAAATAGTAATAGATATTACCCACAGAAACAAAAGCTCATTAGAGAGCGCAAACATTTTTATGAAGGTAAAGGGGTCCTTATCTGGGCCAGTAAGCAACAGCATGATAAGCAAAGAAAAGACTGAAGTTGCCAATGATTTCATTCTACTTGGCTCCACAATCAATGCCCATGGAAGCAGCAGTCAAGAAAAAGGAACAAAAAAATTTTCATTGGCATTAGGCAAATCTGCTGCAAAAGGCTTCCTTAAAGTGTTAAAAAAAAAAAAAGCAAAGATATCAGTATGAGACCTAAGAGTGCCTGACTAAAGCCATAGCATTTTCAATCACCTTATATGCATGGAAAACTGTACAATGAATAAGTTAGACTCAAGAAGAATGAATACTTTTGAATGATAGTATTGATGAAAATATTAAATATGCCATGGACTATCACAGGACAAACACAACTGTCTTGGATTAGAAGTGCAGCCAAAATGCTTCTTAGAAGCAAGGATGGAGAGACTTTATTTCATGTACTTTAGACATGTTATCAAGAGGGACCAGTCTCTACTAGGTGAGCATTTGGGATGTCTAGGTCTTTCTTTATACTGTTACTCACATAAAGAGATAAAAGTGGTATACTGTATTTTATATAGAACATCTGTTCTTTAATATCACATAGTTTATATCTCTTTGCATTTATATTTCTAGTAATGTGGTTCTCGTTAACACAGGTAGAGATGAAGAATTTGTTAGAACCTGGTACTTACAGCTATACATGAGCACTGGTGGTGTGTGTCCCTTTAATAAACCACTTCAGAGAAAAGAGATTTAGAAGTTGTGTACTCCACTCTTTCTCTCTTTTCATTAGCTAGAAGAGAAGGCTGTTCAGTTGGTTTGTGGTTTGTTTTTTTAATAACGCCTTCAAACTAAAATCTCTGTTAAACTCCCTTATTCTCTGTTCACTTCACTGGTCTCTTTATTATGCTTGACCAGGGTGATACTGTGAGTTCCAGAAGAATCTGTGCTCGAGTCTTTTCCCCTCTTGTGTATCCACTGTCAGTATTTCATGTTGAATGTGTGGAGAACATTAAAGTACTAAGACAGCAAGCCCTTGTCAGTGGACCCCTCTACCTGATTGTTAGACAAATTGTTCTTTTTAAACTTTATGATGGGAATAAACACCTTGAGTTTGAAAAAAAAAAAGAGGGACCAGTCTCTGGAGAAGGATATTATGCTTCGTAAAGCAAAGAAAGAGTCAGTGAAGAAGAGGAAGATCCTGACACAATGCCTCCAACAATGGGTTCACACAGCAAGGATTGAGAGGATGGTGCAAGACTGGGTCTTATTTCATTCTGTTGTACACAGAGTCACTATGAGTTAGAACTGACATGATGTCACCAAAGGACTTCCTGGAGACCAAACATTTGAGAGCCACTGGTACAAATACAATAGTGTGGTCACTGGCCACCTATTCTTATCTAGTGATCTCTTTGCTTGTTTGGCTCTAAGTCTCAAAAGGACAGTGATTTTTTTGGGTCAGTGTTCCAGCACCTAGAACAGTGCCTGACACTCAGTAGGTACTCAATAAATCTTGGGGTACACAGATGAGTGAATACACGCGTATTAGTGTTATGATCGCTCATTATCAATCAAACTTTGTTGCCAGACACCATGCCAAGCACTTTATAAGCAAAATCATGCCAAGGTATATTACAGAAATTTAATAAAGAGTTACAAGATCTGGGTTTGAATTCTGACTCTGTCACTTGCTACCCTGGCAAGTAAGTTCCTTCCTGGAGTCTCTGTTTCCCATCGATAAAAGGAGGCTCACCAAAGTTGGGTGTTGTTCCTGGCACGTAAAAAGGCAGGAGCTGTGACATCTTGGGAAGTAAGGAGTAACACCTATGCTCATAACCTCCGGCCACACCACGTCAACAGCACATAACAGACATGGAGCAGGTGCCAGTTAGGAACAGAGACAAAAGTAGACATTGTTCTCTAGGAGTCCCCTATTTCACCCTGACTGGTGGTGTGTTCTTAGGCCAGGAGTTCACCTACCATGCCTCAGTTTCCTCATTAGTAAAACGAAGGATTATAGCAGTACCAATCTCCTAGGGTTGCCTGGAGGAGTCAGTGAAGGCTTAGCACACAGGAGATGCTCAGTGAATGCTGTCATTAGTACTCTGGGCAAAGCCATTCCCCCACCTCTGGACCTTGATTTCTCTCTCCGGATAACAGGGGTTAGACACCCATGTGAAGCTTAGTTGCCTAGTATTTCTTGTTTCTAATTCCTTCCTCTTCCCATTGTAACCCTTGGTCCAGGGATTTTGGCTGCTTCTAACCAGTTACCAATAGCTGGATTGCCTCCATCTTCCCTTCCTGCTCTTCTAACCATTCCAACGCATCTGAAAGAAATCTCTATTAAATTTCTTTCTGTTTGAAATAGCTTGTGAGGGATCTGACTTTGACCCAGGTCCTACTGGGACATAGCGAACCCCCATTTAGGTCTGAAAGGCCATACCTGCAACTTCTTGAGCTGGCTGTTGACACTGGCCAGGTCCCCACCAGGATCCACATCTTGGAGCTGGCTTTCCATGTGAAGGAGCTTCTTGTCCAGTTCAGCAAAGCTCTGCACCAGCTGGTCAGCCTTGCTGGCCTCAAAGAGCTGCCGGGCCTTGGCCTGGGTGGTGCTCTCCAGTTCTGCCCAACACTGCCGGATCTCACCTAACTTCTTCCTTACTGAGGCGGCCAGCTCGGGTTTCTCTTGCATCAGTTGCTGGCCCTCCTATCCCAGGTGAGTAGGTAGCAAGAGATGAAGGGGAGGGATGAGTGGTGGGAAGGGGTAGAGAAATATGAGGGAAACAGTGCATAGGGAGAAACATAGGGAGTGAGACACAGATGTGGAGAGTGGATGCAAAGGTGGGTCAAGAGATGGGAGTAATGAAGTCATGGGGAGACAAAGAGAGGGAAAGAAACAGACAGACAGAGAGGGAGATACAGACAAAGGCATGGGGGAAACAGAGACATGGGAAAAGAAACAAAGAGATTCAGAGACATTGGAAAGAGATAAGGAGAGAGACAGTTAGATAGTGAAAGACACACACATACATTCAGAAACATGGGGAGAAGGCCAGGAGAAACAAAAAAGTAATAGAGAAAGAGACAGAGAGAGAATGAACTTTCACTAAATCAGGGTCAAGAAGGGTGGCTTTGCCACACCCCACCATTTAAGAGCTTGAAGCTGGCCTGGGTAGCTCCCACTTGATTCAGGAGGAAAGTTTCCAGGGATGCAAGTCTAGGGGTTCAGTCAGAGTACAGGCAGTTCAGAGTAAAAAACTGCCAAGAGAGAAGTTCAGCTTGCTGACCTCTAGATTATAAATTAGCAATAACAGTATCATAGTAATTACTGACCATACGTGCCTGACTTTGTGTTAAGCACTTTATATGCCTAAGAGTCCAGGAAAGTATCTATATTTATTATTTCCTTAATTTACACAACAGCTTGAAGAGGTTTAAGGCACAGGGGCCATTACAACCCAGGGATGTAGGGACCTAAAGTTCACCTTAACCCTGGCCTTCCCAGAGCCACCCCTACTTGTCTCCACGACCTTCCATCTTAGATGTTCCCAGTGGTATGGAAGAAAGCCTGGTGGAGAAAGGTAAAGGTAGGGGGGAAAGAGTTAACAGTCAAGAGGGTATATGGGCACCATTCAGAAGAAAATGTTGGCCATTTTAGAGATGGAAAACTGAGGATCAAAGAACTAGGGGCAGACCTAGAAATGATGTGACCCACTTCAGGGCTATGAGACCAGCTGAATGGTAATGAAGGGAGTGCACGCTGAGGTCTGGGCTTCCTGGGGGCCTTCTGCATCCTCACCCTCTCAATTTTCTCCAGCCACTCCTTATTCTGAGCCAGCTCGGCCATGAACGCCTGGTGCCGGAGCCATCTCTTGTGCAGCTTGTGGCTGTCTTCTCGAGTGCCATCCCGAGCCATCAGCATCTTCTCATGGATCCAGCCATCCAGCTGTGCAGAATGGGGAGGGGCTCAGTCACAGCTCCCCATTCCCCACATCCCCTCCACAAGGCCCCAATTTCAGGGTTTGGGCTACTGGTTTTGTGGGAGAGGAGGAAGAAATGGAAAAGTCTTTTCAAGTGAGGTATTTATTAGGGTGAAGGGGCAGTTAAAGCTCTTTCCAGGAGGTGAAGGAGGGAGGGAGGGGTCCCCCAAACAACCAGTCCCTTAAATCCTCTGTCCTAAAGGCAGTCTTCTGTACTTCCCACAAGCCCCCAAGGCAGAGCGTCTGGGACAATCAGTTTCTTCCCAGCCAGGGACAAATCAATCCCCAAAGCAAGTCCTCCAACCTAATTTAGCTGTAGGATAAGCACTAGACTACTAACCACAAGGTCTGCCGTTCAGATCCATCAGCGCTTCCTCGGAAACCCTATCTATACAGGGTTGCTATGAGTCAGAATCAACTTGATGGAACTTAACAACAAATTCAGTCCTAGTGCCAAGTACCACTGAGACCACCCGATTCCAATTCAGTCGTAACCATCTAACCCTAACCTTAACCTTAATAAAGACCAATTCAAAATGCTCCAACCCCATACCCCAGGGCATCAAATGAGGCCACCATATCTACCCGTGGCCTCCAAAGTAATCAGATCAATCCCCCAAACAGATCGCCCAACTAGCGATAAATCTAGCTCCCTCCAAACCCGTCTCTCATTCTGGAGTAAACCCAGATTGACTCCCCAAAATATGAACCTCCATGGCTCCCCAAACTTTGCTCTGTTTTTATCAGGAAGGCTAAAACAAGTCATAGATGGTGATCAGACTATCTGAGGTGCTCTTACAAATATCCATGATTAGGGCCCAAACTTAACCAAAACCAATGCTCAAAACACAAGCAACAAAACTGCTTTCTGGCTCCCCAAACTAGCCTATCCCAAAATCTAGCCCAGACTCCCTAACACTGACCTCTCAAGTTGCTCTCCTCCAAAATAAAAACCTAAAACTACTTCTAGTCTTTGTAGCCACCAACAAAACCAGTGCCCTAAAATGCAAGCACCGACAGTGGGCCCCTCTCAGTCTCTCAGACAGGACCAATCACAAGGCTGCTCTCTGAGCATCCCAACCCCTACTCCAATGAGACTTGTCCACTCCCAAACCAACCAGAAGCACCTCACTTATGACCAAACCTAGCACCTAGGACAATTTGCTCCTCCCCCTCTAGTCACAAGGTCCTCCTCCTCCCTCCAGCAAAAAAAAAAGGCAACTCCAGCCTGCGAGGCGGTCCCGGGAGGCATATGCAGTCAAAACCAAGGACAAACCCCGAGCCAGCCAAACTCAGCCTCGAGTCCCCAGAGAGTGAGCTCATATCCCCTCACATACACTATTAGAGCCAAGGCACAGGCTGAAGTCCCCAACTCAAGCCATAGGTCTCCCCCACGCAGTGAATAGTTCGCCAATGACAACCACAACCAGAGCCTCCAAATGAAGGCAAAACCCTCCAAAGGAGATCATACCCCATATTCACAGTAAAAACGAAATACAAGTCACTGCCGTCGAGTGTATTCCAACTCACAGCGACCCTACAGGAAAAATACCCCTGCAAGGGTGACTGCCTCCTTCACTGAAGGTCCAGCCCAACAACCAAGAAAGAGCTCCCAAAAGTCAGAGCCCCCAAACCCAGAGCAAATCCAGGGCCCTCACCACCCAAGGCAGAGTCCCCCCCGCAAAAAAAAAGTGGTTCATCCAAAGCTGTAACAGATCCCACAGTAATCAAAAAAGAAATCCAAACGTTGAGTCTCCCAACTACAGGGACGATCTCAGTTCCTTATCACCCAGAGAAGATCCCCCTAGAAAAGTCGAAACCCCCTGGATTCCAAAGCAATTCCAGACTCCCCCAGGAGTAGACTTGGAAGTTCCCTCCCCCGAGGCCCGGCCTCTCAAGTCGCGCCAGCACCGCGGACAGCTCCCGGACTCCCGGCCCTTTCCCCTAGGGCGGGGGTCCCGGCTCCTGCCAGGCCCGCCCCGCGTCGCCCGCGCCCCTCCCTCTCGCGGCCCCAGCGGGTGAGCACGCGCCCGAGCCCCTTCCCCCGCCCTCCATGGCGGGGGCGCGCGCCAGCCCCCTTCCCTGGGCGCCCTGGAGACCTGAAGCGGCGGCGGCGATGGCGGGGCGTCCCTGCAGCTGGCGGGCGGGCGATCGCCCTTCCACTGCGACGGCGGCGGCGGCGGCGGCGGCGGCGGCGGCGACGGCAGAAGCTCCTGCAGACGCGCACCCGCGCCCAGTCCCCCGCCTCCGCGCCGCGGTAGCGCGCCCGCCCGCGCGCGCCCCCTGTCTGCCTCCATGCCCGCCTCTTTGCGGGCCCCTATTTGGAGGTGGGGAAAGAATCGCCACCCTTTCGAAAGCAGAGCTTCTACGCCATCTCAGATGACTCTTCCTTGGTCCAGAACTCCAGAACAATCTCACGGGTAGACAGAGGGTCTCCTGGATAATCTCTAATGGATGAGGGGCCTGGGTTCCAGGCTACCTCAGCTGTGTGAAGATGAGGAATGTAGATGGGGGATGGACTCCTGTCCATCTCCAATAGAGAGGGGCTTGGATCCCCAGCCACCCCAGCTATGTAGAGGTGAAGGATATGTAAATCACCTCTTACAAGACTCCTGTCCCAAACAGTCTCCCATGGTCTACCTCATTTATGTGAGAATAGGAGGGAGAGGTGGGAGTTCTCTATGGAGAAGACCAAACCATCTTTAACTGGGGGTGGGGGGGTGCAGGAGCCAATTCCTGAAGCATCTTTGGTTGTAGGAAACAGGTACTAGATCATCACAGGGGGGATGGATGGGGAGGGAGGAATCCCACGTCATATAGATAGAGGAGCTTGGGGCAGGGACCAACTTGGGGTTAGAAATCTGTTTACTGCACCATCTACTGGGGCTCCCTTTTTTGTGGTCAAAGTGCAAAACAGTTTCCGATGGAATGCAGAAGAAGAAGAGGGCAGCCTGTCTCCTGAGTCGTACCTAATGGGGACCAGCTCTGATTTGTATGATCATTTAGATACCTACACATCTTTAAAGGGGCAAACTCTCGGCTCAGGAGCCTCTCTGACCGAAAGAGCGCTCAGGGTCGTTGGGCCATCCCCGCCTTCCCTCCCTATGCAGGGATCATCTCAAATCTCCAGAGAGAAAGGTGAGATCTGCGCGCGTCCCCGCGGGACCCGTAGATGTGGACGCGCGCCGTTGCCGGGGGCACCAGAGGCCCCTCCTTCCTCGGCGCCCGCGTGGGTGGGGAGGAAACTGCAGAACATGCGCACTGAACTAGGATTTCATGCACGTAAATATCGCTCCGCGACCCACTTAGACGGGGCGCCCCCGCCCCCACCTCCACCGTGCATCTGATTGGGAGTTCTTCCCTCCCTCGGAAAGGGGGTGTCACTGCCCCCAACACAGCTGAAGTCCTACCTCGTGGCAGTCTCGGAGGAAGTGCTGCAGCTCCAGTTGGTCATGTAACTTTTGCATCCATTGCTGAGCTCGTAGCTGGTTTTCTTGGCTCCTGGGGATGGGGGAGAGGGGGCTGGGCAGAGGCTTGCGGCAGGGAGCGCTTGTTGGAGGGCTGTGAGGGCATAGAGTTGTGCAGGGTAGGAGGGCTTGGAACACACGTGAAAGAGGAAGGGTAGAGATCAAGATAAGGGTGTGGAAGAGAGACAGGCTGAGTGGGGCAGAACCTGGGACAGAGGCATAGGCCAAAGAGCGCCCTGAAGAGAAAAATACACATCTGGAGAGAGATACAGAGACTTTTTAAAGAGACAGATATCTGGGGAAAGACATAAGAGGGAGAGAAGAGAGAAACGGAGTAGGGGCAGCAACAGAAAGAGACAGGTGGAGAGACACGAAGCAGCAAAGAAAGGGTGGTGGTGGGCAGAGGAAGAGAACATTCAGGGACAGCCCAGAGGACAGACGGAGAAGTGGGCAAGACCTAGACCATAAAAGACAGCTAGACAGACAGGGGAGTGTCACAGAATTGTAAAGATGGAAGCGGCCAGGATGTAGGCAGAGATGGGATTGGAGTCTCAGCAGAGATTGGGTGGGTGCTTGGGTGGGCAGGGAGTTATACCATTGGCTAGAGTGAACTAACCAAGTTGGACCCAAGCCTTACCCTCACTCCACCCCCAGCCAGCCAGGATCAAAGTCCCAGGCAGCCTGCCCTCCTGCTAAAGTGGGTAAAATGCCCAACAGACCTAGTGGAGGGGGCTAGGGGCATTCCACTTTGATCCACAGGTGTGCCTCTTCTGTCCCTATCCCCGGGAGACAGACAAGAGGGAGCTAAAGACTCTCTTCCCAAGTTCCCCAACTCCCTAAGAAGTCTTAAGACTGTCCAGGTCCAACACACCCTTGCCCCTACTTGTTCAAACTCTTCTGTTCAATTATGCTGACTGCTGTATTCTTGAACTCTCCACTCCCACCTCAGGGCCTTAGCACTAGCTGTTCCTTCTGCCTCAAATGCTCTTTCTCTTGGAGAGCTACTCAGCAGCCACCTTCTTTAACCTTCAGATCTTTTCTCATTATTCCATGCACTCAACACTTCAGACTTTCTTTGCTGTCTCAGTTTTCTCCTTAGGACTTACCACTAACTTACTCTTGTTTTACTTATTCAGTTTGTCTGTCTACTACAGTGATGTCGTTCCATTAAGGGTAGACACGTCTTTTTTGTTCACTGCTATATCCCCAATGCTTAGAAAAAGGATCTGGCCCATAGTAGATGCTCAGTACATATTTGTTGCATGAATGAATCGATGAATCAATGAATGCAAGAGAGACATTGAGGCCCAGAGCAAGAGAAATGAATGAAACAAATGTGTCTGAAAAGAGACATAAACGGGTGGGGATGGGGGGAATGGCAGAAGTAGTTTCGAGAGAGACAGGGTAAAGAACTGCAGATAGAGGGAGAAAAAAACATACAGAGACAGAGAAAGCATCAAACACAGAAACAGAGAAAGAGAGGGATGGAGGCAAAGAGGCCGAGTGTGAAAGTGACAGAAGAAAACAGACTGAGAACTGGAGACAAGCAGGAGAAACACTGGCTCCCTCCTGCCCCACCGCAGTCAGCAGCCTTGACAAGTCAGGGAAATGCTTCTGAAATTGATATCAGTCCCTGGAGGCCCTGACCAGACAAACTGTTAAGCATCAGTCCTAAGGATGAGGAAAATTCCTCTAGTATCCACCAACAACACAAACCCACTACCACTGAGTCAATTCTGACTTACAGCGACCCCATATAGGGTTTTTGAGACTACATCTTTATGGGAGCAGACAGCGTCATCTTTCTCCCTTGGAGCAGCTGGTGGGTTTGAACCACTATTTTATTTTATTTTTTTCTTTTTCTTGGTAACAATCCAATGTGCTTAATTCACAGTACCACAAGGGCTCCTCCCAGTCTTCACAGAGGATTCAAATCATGGCCTTGCCACTTCCTGGCCTAGATCCTAGAAGAGCCAATTCCCTGTCTGAGCCTCCATGCAAAATGAAGATAAGCCCAGCACCGTGCACACAGAGCTGGACCAGGTTCCTAGCCAGGCGAGGCAAAGAGAGGTGAAGTGATTCCCCACAGATCTCACAGGTGGAGGGGTGGAAATGGGACTAGAATTTGGGCCTGTCTGGCCCTGGGGCCTGAGCACTGAATTTTGGCATGTTTCTGCTCCCCTCTTGGTGTGGAATGGGAGCCATGGTGACCAGTAGGTTAAATATTGGGCTCCCAACAGAAAGGTTAGTGGTTTGAACCAAACAGCCCCTTGGCAGGAAGTTGTCTGCTTCCTTAAAAGTTAACAGCCTTGGGGACACTGGCTACCCAAAATGGGGGACTACAAAGGCAAGAAGTGACTGGTTTACAAGCTTTCAAGAGGGAGCCTAGATCCAGAGGGCGCGGAGGAAGGTAGAATCTCCACTGAGTAGTATCCAATATGTCTGGGCGGGGCTGATGAAAGGAGATGGGGATAGGTCTCTTGGTACAACAGTGAATAATTGTTATCAGGACTGACAGTGAGGGTTGGAAATGTATAGGTAGACATTTTGTAGCAAGAGGGGAGTGATTGACTTTGCAGTCTAAGAGTGGAGGTCCCTGGGACCATCAAGGGAGAAGAGCAGAGTGCACAACCCTACTCAGAAACAGTGATGCCAGAGACAGAGGCAGAGACGATGATGTGGAGAGATGGAGCAGCTGGGGACTCTAGACCCAGAGAGGGAGAGGGGCTGTGTGCTGACGACTGGGGGGCAGGCTTGCAGTGTATACCCTTTGGTTGGTTGATGATGCATGGAAGGGATTGTAACCATTGGCAATGAAATGATATAAAGGATGATTGTAAAGCTAATGTTCTCCCATGTAAACTATCACATAACTCACAATAAAACATTAAAAAAAAAATTATGATGACTCATCAAAGGCATTGACAAATACTTTTATTACTCCAACTGGGTGAAAAATGAGTCCTGGTGTGGTGCTGTAGGATAAGCACTAGACTGCTAACTTCAAGGTTGACAGTTCAAGCCCACCAAACCACTCCTTGGAAACCCTATACAAGATCACTGTGAGTCAGAATTGACTCAATGGCACTTAACAACAACAATGGTGGTGGTGGTGGTTATGTGTCGTGAAGTCAGTTCTGACTCATAGTGTCCCTGTACAGGGTTTACGAGGCTGTAAATCTTTACGGAAGCAGAAAGCCTCATCTTTCTACAGTTGGTAGTTTCGAACTGGTGACCTTGTGGTTCGCAGCTCTATTCGTAACCACTATGCTACCTACCAGAGGTCCTAACAACAATAGACAAGTAAATTGAGTCTCTGGGTAGCATAAATGGTTATGTGCACAACTGCTATTAGAAAGATCGGAAGTCCTAAAGTTCTAATCCACCCAGAGGTACCTTGGAAGACAAGTGTGGTGATCTGGTTTTGAAAGATCACAGTCTTGAAAACCCGACAGAGCAAACAGTTCTACTCTGCATATGGGGTCACCATGCGTCAGAATGAACTTGACAGCAACAAATGACAAGTAAGTAACGGGGACCTGAATGGGGAATTGGGATCAGTAAGTAACTGGGACCTGGGCTGGGAATAGGGATCAGGTCTATTGCAATGCCTGATGTGTCTTCACCTCACCTAGCATAGCTTTGGGGCAGACAACCCCACTGGGATCCCAGAGTCCCCTGAATACTGCCATCCCAGCCTTGATCATCTGAGCTGACCTTGTCAGACAAAGTATGAGTTCTGTGAGGAGGGCAGACATCATATTCTGTCTTGGTCACCATTGTATCCCCAGCATCATCCCACATAGGGCACAGAGCATAGGCTCCGTACATGTTGAATTGACTGAAGAAGAGATGAGTAATCAGTAAAACACAAGGAGCATTTCATTAGTGACTGTGAAAAGGAATGGGATTGTGAATCATGGAAAGAATAATCCTCGGGGCTCCTCCTCCTCCTCTGAGCATACTTCAGGAGCTCAAGAAACATGGGACAAAGGAAGATGAAGTCCAGGCTTGTTCAAGACCCTAATTCCCATAAACGTTTCCTTTAGAAACCTTCAGCCTTGACCCAGATGAATTTAGGAGAAAAGGACACTTGAGAGCAAGCACAGATTACCCATGAAGCATGAGGGCATCAATAAAACAGGGGCACCAGTTGTCCAAAGCTAAGACCCATAGATGCTGAGCAGACAGGCACAAGGAAAAGCAAGTGTCTCAGTGGAAGAGAACTGGGAGGGCACTCAATGAAACAGATACCAGCTCTAGTGCGGAAGAATGCGCTGGCTGGAAATGAAGTTGACGCAAAGTCACAAGGGTGCCCACGTGAATGGTTGTTGAAGCTTTGAGACCCACACCACTCCAGCTCCTTTGTTAACATCCGTCTCATATGGTCTCCTGTGTAATTGAAACTCATTACCTTAGTGGGTCTCTTGGGAGTATACTTATTTCTTTCTAATAAACAAGAGGTGGGGGTGGGTTGTTCAGTAGACTTCTTGCTACATGCACCCAATAGGCAGCTGGATCCACCCAGAGCCAGTTCTGGGCAAGGATGGATTATATCAACAGATAACAGGTCTCTGATAGGGTCACCAGAGTTGGAATCAACCTGACAGCGTTGGGGTGGAGGGATCCATTTTGAAGGAACCCTCCTGGTGCAGTGGGTTAAGCGTTGGTCTGCTAACCGGAAGATCTGTGATTCAAACCCACCAGCTACTCCAAGGAAGAAAGATTAATCTGCTCCCATAAAGATTTACAGTCTCAGACACCGTAGGGAGCAGGTCTACTCAGTCCCATATCAAGTTGCGATGAGTCAGAATTAACTGGATGGCAAGGTTGGGTTTTAGGTGAATCCGTCATGGACAGCAAAGTGTGTGTGCGTAAGAAGAGGAGGCAGTGTTTTGGATCCTCCCATGCTTCAGGTCCTGCCTGAGCCCCCCCAGGCAGGAGGGCATTCTAGGGCTGAGGCTGGAGTGGCCAGGAGACTGAACAATGGAAGGAGCCTATGGGGCCCTCTTCCAGTCTGGAACTTTCCAGAAGGAGTCAGAGAGGAGGGAGCTGGATCACTGAGGAGGAGCAAGAAAAACTGGCAGGGACAGAGAGAAAGAGACCCTAGTAAACCAGCTCCATGAGGGACAATGCTTCTGGAATAGTGCCAGGCATATGGCAAGACTCAGTACGTATTTGTGCTGGATTCTGGCTGCATGTACAAACAAGCCCCAGGGCAGTGGGAGAAACAGGTGGTCACAAAAGGAGAGACCCAGAAGGCACAAGGGAAGCATGAAAGACTAACAGAGACACACACACAAATACACGCCAGGTCACACACTCTGGGTGCTTTCTGCAGGGACTGGAGCCGAACCTGTGCCTGGCCTTTAGAGGTGGGTTTTCAGGAAGGGGCCAGAGCAGGGACATCCAAGGGCAACAAGCAGCTGGTCCTTCCCAGGTAAGGGCTTATCTGAACGTTGCAACAACCCACCAGTTATCCACGCTCGGGGCCTGGCGTGGGAGAGGAACTTTTCATCGTACATCTCTACCTTTTGAATTTGCAACTGAGTTTCCTGTCACAAGAGCCCTGGTGCCACAGTGGGTTAAGCATTGGGCTGCTAACCGCAGGGTCGGTGGTTCAAACCCACCAACCCACTCTCTGAGAGAAATGTAAAGCAGAATGCTTCCGTATTTACAGTCTTGGAAATCCTCTAGGGCAGTTCTACTGTGTCCAGGGGGGTTGCTATGTTCAGTGCTGATGAGTCCGTCCCGATTCACAGCGAACCTGTATAGGGATGGTTTCCGAGGAGCCAGTAGGAATCAATTCAGTGGCAATGGGTTTTGGTACCCTTTCACAAAGAAAATTAATTAAATCTAAAACAATAGAATTGAGTAGAAATCAGGGGCAAGACAAGCTGACTAGGTGATAGAAGGTGCCAACGGCCTCTCGAGCCCCGCCCGCTCCCCTCCTGCCCCGCTCCCAGTCCAGCGCCCCAGGGTCTGGGGGTGCCTACTTCTCCAGCAGCTGCACCACGGCCTCCTGGGCCTGCTCTCCGTAGACGTTGCCTTGTCTCAGCAGGCCCTCGGCCGCCTGCACCGCCACATGTATCTTTTGCTGGTTTAGCTCCATTGTGGTCAGAAAATCCCGGTGCCTTTTCAACGCCTCTTCTACTGACTCCATGGTGCCTGGGAGCTCGGGACCCGACAGTGCCATCTCCTGGGAAGGGGTGGTGGTGCACAGGTCGGTCCCTTTCCATTCCAGGAGCCTAGGAGAGGCTGCCAGTCTGACTTGTCACCACTCTCTGCCCCCATTGGCATTCCAACATGCCAGACACCAACCCACTCAGGGCCTTTGCCCAGGCTGGTCTCTTTGCCTGGCGGTCCACCCCCATGGCTGGATCTTTCAGTTTCTTCAGGTCTCTGCTCAAATGTCACCTCTTCAGAGACCTTTCCTGACCATCCTGCCAAAAATAAAATCAACCCGCATCCCACCATATCCCCTTACCCTGCTTCATTATTCTTCATATTGCTGACACAATATTAGATATACACTTGTCCTGTATTGTCTCATTCTCCCTTCCCCTTTAACACACCATTAGCATGGCAGCCACATGAGGGTGTATTTTGTGTCTGATTCTTGGTGTGTACCCAGCCTCAGAAGAGTACACAGCACAAAGAAAGTCACTTAGTAAATATCTGGTTAACTTGATGAAAGACTGAAAGGTGCTGTGTGACCTTAGGGAAGTTCTTTCCCTCTCTGGGTTTGGTTTTCTCACTGGTAAAATGGGTGAGTCAGACAGAGCCTCTCAAGGGCCTGTAAATATCACTACAACTCTGATATTTAGTAACACGATTCTATAGGGGTTTCCCCACCTGCCCCCACATCCCAAACATAATTCTCCAACAGGATCAACTTCCTTGGATGATCTCCAAACTCAAGTACATACTCTTGAGCAATCTGAAAATAGGGTCCTCTAACTTGTCCAAATTCTTATACTTGGATTCCATTTCCAAACAATCTCCAAACAGGATCACTTGTTCCCAGATAACCATAAACACATTTACTCCAACAAACAAGACCAATTGCAAACATAGCCTAGTGCAACAACTTTGTTCACAATCACTCACTGACTAATAATCCCTCTTTCTGTGCAAGCCACCTGTATTAGTCTCTGTTGTTGTTATGTGCCGTGGAGTCAGTTCCGACTCATAGCGACCTTGTACAGGGTTTCCGAGGCTATAAATCTTTACAGGAGCAGAAAGCCTCCTCTTTCTCCCACGGAACAGCTGGTAGTTTCGAACTGCTGACCTTGTGGTTCGCAGCCCGATTTGTAACCACTACGCTACCAGAGCTCTGTTACCCACCCCAAAATCTTCTTTAAATCCTATTATCATGAATTAGGAGTCCTGGTTGTGGCGCTGTGGGTTAATGCGCTGGATTGCAAAGTCATTTGAACCGCAAAATCGGCGGTTCAGGCTCACCAGCCGTTCCTCGGGAACTACACAGTTTTGCTATGAGTCGCAACTGACTTGATGACTCTTAAAAACAACAACAATCATGAATTTGGAAATGGAATCCAAGTATGATGCCGACCTGGACAAATCAGTAGGGGGCGCTAATAAATCTTAAACGTCATTACTCACTCAGGATAGTCCAAAGACTTTAAGGGGAGCTTCAAATATTTTGTGGGGAAAAAAGTCCATTTTAACTCCATTTTTCCACGAACTTTTTCAAGACCCCTCGCATTTTTCAAGCCCTCAGCTAAGGCACCAGCCCACCCATCATAATCCTCAAAACTATTTTTTACATAATTATACGTTCACTCAGGATGATCCACAATTCAATTACCCATACCACGTCACTTCTCAATTCCCATTCCACTCAGAGAAACCACAAACCCAGTATTCCAGCAAACTTCCCAACCTACCCACTGACACAATTCTCCTCCCGCGCCCTGCACCTCCAACCTCGCTAGCAACCCTGAACCGGTACCTGATTGCGAAGCACAGCGAGTGCTTGACGCAGATCGCGCAGGAAAAGCTGATAGACGTGCGCCTGGACCAGCGCCTCCCTACGTGCTTCCCACAGGCCCAGCAACTTCTGCCAGCCAAGCTCCAAGTGTGGTAGCCACTCGTCGAGCGCCAGGCCCGGACCCAGCTCGGCGCCGTCCGCGGCCAGCAGCGCCTCGCTGGCCGCCACAATTTGCGCATAGTCCTCCTCACGCTGGTCCACCTCCTCCTTGAGCGCAGCGTGGCGCGCCAGCAGCGCATCCGCCTCTTCCAGGCTGCCAGGCAGGGGCCCTTCGCTGCCTCCCGCCGACTCTTGGGCGCGCACCAGCCAGTCCAAGAAAGCATCCAGGTCGTGCAGGAAACGCTGCAGGCGCCCGGCCGCCGCCACTGCCTCTCCGCAGGCCTGAGCAGCGCTAGCCAGCGCTCCCCACTCGGTGCCCAGCTCTTCGGCGCCCTGGCGCAATCGCGCCCCCTGTGCAGGAAAGCGCGCGGCCAGCAGGGCCGCCTCCTCCAGGAGAGCCGCCTGGCGTGGCTCCAGAGCTTGCAAAGCCGCTTCTAAACCGCTGAGGCGCCACTGTAGGGCGCCGCTGGCGCGGGGCGCACTGTCCACCGCTCGTCGCTTCTCGCGCACCTGGGAGCGCACCTCAGCCACCTCCAGTACGTGGTTCTCTACCAGCAGCACCGCGCTCACTTCCTCTTTTCGCTGTCCCACCAGTTCCACGATGCGGTTCCACCTACCGAAAAGAATGATGCAGGCTTGAGATAGGCAGGGGTGCTTCTTGAGCATGAAGGGCAGGGAGACCCAGGGTCTAATCCAAGCCCTGGCCACCTAGGCACTGTTTGGCCTTGGGAAGTCATTTGATCTCACTGAACCCTAGTAAATGGTCCATGCGCTCAGAACAGCAGTTCTTAAAGAGTAATCCCAACAAAGTCCAAATTATTTTCACAATAATATTAAGAGACATCATTGGCTTTTTCACTCATTCAACTTTGGAAATTCCCCAAAGGTATCATAACAGACGATGAGAATCCAGCTGCCTTCTCTAGTCTGGCATTAAGGAGATTTGTAAAAATACAAAACAATGCCATTCTTCTCATCAGCTTTTGTTTTTGGAAAACAGTCAGGTCATTTTTCATTAAAATTATTAAACTATGTTGTAATAAGTTTATCGGTGTTATTTTTAAACGATTTAAAAAATTTTAAAGATTTTTATTTTTGATAGAATAAATGTTGATGAATATAATGACAAAAACAAAAGCTCTTTGAGGTCTTCATTAGTTTCTGAGAGTGTAGAAAGTTTCAGAACTGCTGGCTTATCACATCACATAATAGGTTGGGCACCTGCTATGATCTGAAGGGAGCCCTTGTGTGGTGCTGTAGGATAGGCACTGTATTGCTAACAGCAAGGTCTGCGGTTCAAACCTACCAGCCGCTCCTCCAAAAGTCTATGGTGGTGGTGGTGGTGGTGGTGGTGGTGGTGGTTATGTGCCGTGGATTCAGTTTCGACTCATAGCAACCCCTGCATAGGGTTTCCAAGGCTGTAAATCTTAACAGGAGCAGAACACCTCATCTTTGTCCCACGGAACAGCTGGTAGTTTTGAACTGCTGACCATGAGGTTAGCAGCCCAACTCGTAACCACTATACTACCAGAGCTCCTTCCGAAAGCCTATACAGGGTCACCATATGCAGGGTTTCATTCTGCTGTGCATAGGGTCACTATCGGTACCAACTTGATGGCATCTAACAAGAACAGACTCCACGACACTTAACAACAACTTAGAACTGAGGAGAGAGTGGTGCAAAAACAAACCTTATTCGTTTCAAATTAAATTAATGGGAAAACAAAATAAAACACAATTACGTCTTTAAAAAAATCTTGGGCAGTGATTGTCATGTAATCTTTTACTGCTCTTCCATGGGCATTAATTATGTATCCAAGTAAAAGGAAGTCCTTGATAACATAAAAAAAACAAAAACAAAAACAAAAACCCACAATTACGTGTTGCTACGGGGGAATGCCATGGGGGAATGAGAATTCTTCTTAGAGTCCCAGTTCCCATTCTTAGTCAGTGTGTGGTCACGGTTATCAGCACAGACTGGGAACCAAACTGTTGTTGTTATGTGCTGTCAAGCCTAGTCAGTTTCGGAGTGGGTTGGTGATTCTGAACTGCCAACCTTGCAGTTACCAATTCAGCGCTTATCCTAAAGTGCCTGTTTGGGGTCTGTGGGAGCTAAGGTTTTGTTTCAACTTAACTGGGCCAGAATTCTCAGTTGTTCTGCAGTTGAGATATAGCTACTACCCCCATGACGAAATCTAAAATACTGTGATCAATTCTATGATTAGGTCAGCTATGAGCAGCCAATCAATTGAAAAGAAGTTCTGTTTCCAATATGCTAGATACTCAGGCAAAGTGTGCTCTCTGCTGCATCCAGCTCTGACATCTGGTTCATCCTCTGACCTCTGGTTCTTTGGACTTGAGGCAGATGCAAGCCAGATGTCTGCTGTATTATCTGCCAAGAGTTGTCGGTAGCCTATCTTCTGACCTGCCGGACCTGCCTGCCTGCCTGCTGTCTGACCTGCTGATTTTGGTTCATCAGGCCTGCAGCTACGTGAGTCAGAAGCCTGACATCTTAACTCACAGACTTGGCGCTATCACCTCTAACACTGTGTGAGCCATTTCCTTGATATGTTGTTGTTGCTGTTAAGGGCCATTGAGTCGGTTTCGATATATATTGACCCTGGATAGGGTTTCCAAGGAGTGGCTGGTGGGTTTGAACCACCAACCTTTAGGTTAGCAGTCCAGTGCTTATCCTGCAGCACCACACCAGGGCTCCATTTCCTTGATATGTGGTGGTCATGTGCTGTGGAGTCGGTTCCGACTCATAGCGTCCCTGTATGGGGTTTCCAAGACTGTGAATTTTTACAGGAGCAGAAAGTCTCATCTTTCTCCTGTGGAATTGCTGGTGGTTTCGAACTGCTGACCTTGAGATTAGCAGTCCAACTTGTAACCACTATGCTGCCAGAGTTCCTTTCCTTGATATAAGCCTATCTATAAATATATAGGCTTTATTTTATATCAGAGTCTTCGTCTCTCTGAGCTCCAGTTCCCTCCTTTATAATATGAGGTCATCCCTATCCCATTGGATCACTTAGAAGAATCGAATGAATGTATGTAATCAAAAGCCCAAACCCTTAATTCAGACAAAGCTGAACTCAGACTAACTGGGTAGTCTTGGATATGGATTTCACCTCTCTAGATCTGTGTCTTCATCTATGATGCCTACTCATACTGCTGGAATAGTTGGCAGTGTTCCAGGGGTGAGGGTATTAATCTGTTTCTATTAGTGACATACTGCATTGGGCAAATATATAGCAAAAGACCTCTTTAAAGTGTTCAAGAGCAAAGGTGTCACTTTGAGGACTGAGGTATGCCTGACCCAACCCATGGTGTTTTCAGTTGCCTCATCTGCACGTAAAAGTTGGACCATGAATAGACAAGACCATACAAGAATCAATGCATTTGGAGAAAAATATTAAAAGTACTACGAACTGCCACAACAAACAAATCTGTCCTGGAAGAAGTCCAACCAGAATGTTCCTTAGAAGTGAGGAGGGTAAGACTTTGTCATTCTCTGGACATGTTGTCAGGAGGGACCAGTTCCTGGAGAATGATGTCATGCTTGGAAAAGTGGAAGGTTATCCAAAAAGAAGAAGACCCCCAATGAGAGAGATTGACACAGTGGCAGCAACTATGGGCTCAAACATAACAACAACTGTGAGGATGTCACATGACCAGGCACAGCGCTTCCTTCTGTTATGCATAGGATCCATCGCTGTGAGTTGGAACTGGCTCAATGACACCTAACAGCATTCTTAATGAGTTTTGAGTTCTAGAGACTGTACTGTGGGAATTGAAATACTAGGAGATAAAACCAAGGTATAGAAAGTACTTGGAAAAATTCCTGGTGGATAGTAAATACTCAATAATTTCTGAACAAATAAAAGCCTGTTATGTGTATAACACTGTATAGGGTTTCCAAAGGAGCAGCTGGTGAACTTGAACCTCAAGCCTCCTGAAAAATACCGTATCTGCACATCACCACCAGCCCTGGGTATTACCATTTTTCAAGATTTTGCTGATTTACTAGTTGGCTCTTATCATCTCAGGAGTTTGAGATTGCACACCTTCGATTTCCACAAATGAGTGGATGAGGGCAGAAATGACAGGAAGCACTGTTGTCAGATACCAGAAAGAACTTCCTGCTCCAAGCACCACCTACCTGCTATTGAGGTGATCCTGGCAGGAACGCACCTCATCTGAGCTGGGGTGGCCTCCTTCCACCAGCTTCTGGACTGTGTGGTTCACATCTAAGACACGTCCCATCAGACTATTCATCTCTTGGTCCAGGCTCTCAAACCTGTGGAAGGAAGATGGAGATGCTTAGTGACCTAGACCCTTGGGATCTGACCACTTCTTGGTTTCTAAGAAATGGCATGCTGGCTCCTTGGCTGGCTCTTCCTACCTCCTAAATGTTAATTTCCTTAGGGCTCTTTCCTGGACTCACTGGGATTTCCTTCACCCACTTCCTGGGGTGTTTCACCCATTCCATGGGCTCAGTCTTCATCCCTGCACCGTGGTCTTCACATCTCATTCTCCAGCCTCAGTCTTGCTCATTTTGAACCTGTCTCCAACTCCAACCTGTCCCGCTGTTTACCTCCTCTGAGTCCCTCACACCCATCATTTGTTCTCCCTCTGGATCATATCAGGGACAGCTCTACCATCCCTCAAGCCAGAACCGTGGCCTCATCCTAGACACACCCACCTGAACATGTCAGTTCCCAGGATCTGCTCACTTGGCCTTCTGAATAGCTCTCCCATTTGCCCACAACTCTGCCCTGATCCAGCCATGTCTCCCACCTGGGTCCCCACTCAGTTACCTCTCTGGGCTCCCTCCAACCCACACTTATTCAAGACTGTGGCTTGAGTAAGTGTGAGTACAGTAAGGCAGGACTAGACCTGTGTTTCCAGAAATGCCCAACAGGAGACCTAGAATTTAGCATACTCAATAAGTAGCCAGTGAATGAATGGTTAATGAATATAGAAAGAAAAATGAAGATGGAGAAAGACATTGTCTATCTGCTGTAAGATAAGCACTGGAATGCTAACCATAAGGTTGACAGTTCAAACCCATCAGCCGCTCCATCAGAGAAAGATGAGACTTTCTGCTTCCATAAAGTTTTACAGCCTCGGAAACCCTATATAATATTGGGCTTTCTGGGTGGCAATGTATTTTTTCGTTTCTTCTAATCCATTAATTTAACTCCTTACTAAATCGGCCAATCTTCTTATCTAGGAGTTCCTCATACCCAGATTCAACCAAATATAGATTTTAAATATTTGAGAGAGAGAGAGAGAAAAGAAATTTAGTCATCAAAGCAATCCCTCAAAGGCTAAGAGAAAGTGTAAAGTACTATTTGTATAACATTTACATTGTATTTGGTAGTTCAAGCAATCTAGAGATAATTGGAGTCCTGCTGTGGCATTGTAGGATAAGCACTGAACTGCTAGCCACAAGATCAGTAGTTCAAACCCACCAGCCACTCCTTGGAAATCCTATGTCACTATGAGTCACAAGTGACCTGATGGCACTTAACAACAACAATAGATATGAGTTACTGGAAGATGTGTATAGGTTATACGTAAATACTACGCCATTTTATACAATGGACTTTAGCTTCCTACGTACGATGTTGGTATCCACAGGGATCCTCAAACCAATTCCCTGTGGTTACCCAGGGACAACTGTGTACCATCCTGAGGTGGTAAAGTAGGGTAATGGGAGAGAAAGTGACAGAGTTGGAGCTATTTTATTCGCTAGGGAAGTGTGACTCATAGGAGCCATTTATTAATTCAACAAATATTTAGTATTAAAACAAATTTGCTTGGGGGCATTGGGAGGCTCAGAGGAAGGCATGTGTGTGTGTGATTCCCATGAAGGAGCTCAGGTCATGAAATGCTACTCCTAAACACTGTGTTAAGTGCTGTGTTGTTGTGTGCTGACAAGTCTGTTCCCACCCATACCAACAGAGCAACTGGTGGATTTGAACTGCCAACCTTGCAGTTACCAGTCTAGTGCTAATCCTGCAATGCTCCTTAAGTGCGTTGCACTTGTTAATGTATTTATTATTTACCACAAATCTGTTAAGTAGGGACTAATATATCCTTATTTTACAGACAGGCAAACTGCGGTTAAGAGAGGTTAGGCAAACGGCCAGTTGAGTATCACAAAGTTGGTACGGGTTGAAGCTGGGATTGGAACCTCTGATTTCAGGTGAGGAACATGAAACGGTTGAATCAACGATGGTGAGACTGGGTGCGTAAGGAAGGGGACCCGGGACACCGGGAGTCTCTCCCCGTCACACAAAAGCTCGAGCTCACCGATGTTGCACCACTTCGACATCGTCGAGCGAATCGGGCACACGCATGGCGAGCAGCCATTGTTCCTTCTCGCCGATCCAGAGCTCGCACGCGTGCACCTCGCCGAACATGCGGTAGACAGCGAGCGCATCGCGCAACCACTGGCGCCGCAGCGCCGCCACTTCGGTCACCTCGGCGAACAACTGCTCAGCCTCCACCACGCGCACCTGCAGAGCCACTACCAGAGGCCCCGCACCACTGGCGCCCCCGAGTGTTGCCAGCTGGCGCCGCAGACTGCCCACAGGCCCGCGATGCGCCTCCACCTCCCCGGTGAGCGCGCGGTGTTGGCGCGCCAGGCGGCGGCTGGACGCTTCGTCGTGGCCAAAGTCACCGGCGACCGCCAAACGATAGGCGTCGCGAAGCCAGTCTAGAAGCCCGTCGAGGTCAGCGCCAAACTGGTGCAGTGCCCGTGCCTCTTGCAGCCGCCGCTCCCGCCTCGCCGCCGCTTCTTCCAGCCTCTGCCATCGCCGCCGCGCGCTCGCCGCGCGCTCCGCCAGGCCCGCTAGCTGCACCGTCTCGGCGCCCGGGCCCACGGAGCCGCCAGCCGCAACCAGCTCCTCGCCGCAACGCAGCGCTTGCTGCAGCAGCGTCCGCCGCCCGCCCAGCTCGCCCTGTAAGATCTTATGCTGAGCTAGCAGGCGCGCTGTGCTCGGTAGGTCGTGCGCGCAGCCCGCCGCGCTTGCCGCGCCCGTTGTACCGCCGCCCGTCGCGGCCTCCAGGAGGCGCTCTTTATCGCGTGCCCAACTCTCGGCCTCCTCTAGCTCCTGGAGCAGTGCCCACAAGCTTCGGGACGCCTCCAGTTCCGCACGCCGCCGTGCAGCCTGCTCTTGCAGCTCCGCCAGACAGCCGTGAACGTGGTTCACTCGGTTGCAGATGACCTGAGGGTCGCAGGGCTGGTAGCCTAGGCCAAAAGAAGGGGCAGATCTGGAGTTGGGCCTGGGCCAAGGGAGCCTAAGAAAGTATGGCGCTGGCTACCTGCTTAGCCTTTGGCCCGACTTCATCAGGTTCAAGAGTCTCCTCCTCTAGGCAGCCTTCCCTGACTGCCCAAGGCTGGACAGGCACGTGTGGACGCTCTTCGCCCTCTCTGTTTTCCCTTTCCCAGTCTGGATCCTCTGCTTAAGCCTTCCCTACTCCGCCTGGACCTCTCTACATGTGCCTGTCCCCTTCATCCCGACCCTGACCCCTGGCCTCTGCCTGTGTCTCCCTTCCTTAAATTCCCATAGTTGAATCACTTTGGGTGGTCACTGCGTGGTCTGTCTTCCCCACTGGAGTGGAAGCCCCATGAGGACAGGGCCTGGGACTGTCTCCATCATCCTGTGTCCCCACCATTGCCCAACACTGGATGGAGCCCAGAACAACAGCCAAATAAATTATTGATTGGATTGGATGAAAGTGAGATTAAGCGCTCAGAATCTATAGGGTAAATTAGTGTAAATGGTGCTTTCATCAGCCCAAATAAAACTGCTCCTCCACTCTTCAACACTGTTTCTGGCTTCCCTCTGTCATCTTCTGTTACCTTCTCTAGGAATCCCTGTGGTGTCCTGAACTTGTTTTTTCTCTTCAACAATTCCACCTTCCTTCCTGATCTCTAGTTTGTGACTAGAGGGCTGTGAAATTAATTAAAAGGATGGAAGCAGCGGGTGTTTAACAAAACAAAGAATACTGAAAGTCCCATGAACAAATCTGTCTTGGAAGAATTACACCAGAATGCCCCTTAGAAGCCACAACGGTGAGATTTCCTCTCAGATATTTTGGACATATTATCAGGAGGGACCAGTTCCTGGAAAAGGACATCATGCTTGGTGAAGGAGAGGTCAGTGAAGAGGAGCAAGACCCCCAATGAGATGAATGGACACAGTGGTTTGAACAATAGGCTCAAACACAACAGTTGTGAGGATACACAACAGTGTAGTATCAGGCAATGCTTCTGCTGTGCATAGGGTCACTATGAGTTTGAGCCATTTCAACAGAGCTTAACAACAAAGGTAATACAGAAACGGCTACAAGCATACATTGACAGAGAACAGCTTCAAGCCGGATTCAGAAGAGGCCATGGAATAAGGGATATCATTGCTGATGTCCGATGAAACTTGGCTGAAGGCAGAGACTATCAGAAGGATGTTTACCTGTGCTTTATTAACTACGCAAAGGTTTTCGATTGCATGGATCATGACAAGCTATGGACAACATTGTGAAGTATGAGTATTCCGGAACACTTGATTGTGCTCATGAAAAATCTGTACTTGGACCAAGAGGCAGTTGTTCGAACAGAACATGGGAACATTGAATGGTTTAAAATTAAGAAAGATGTGCGACAGGGTTATGCTTATACAACCTGTATACTGAGCAAATAATCCGAGAAGCTGGGTTCTATGAAGAAAAACATGGCATCAGGATTGGAGGAAGGCTCATTAACAACCTGCGATATGCAGATGATACAACCTTGCTTGCTGAAAGTGAAGAGGACTTAAAATATTTATTGATGAAGATCAAAGAGCACAGCCTTCTGTATGGATTGCATCTCAATGTAAATAAAACAAAAATCCTCACCACTGGACCAATAAACAACATTCTTATCAATGGAGAAAAGATTGAAGTTGTCAAGGACTTCATTCTTCTTGGATCAACTATCAACACTCAGGGAAGCAGCAGTCAAGAAATCAAATGACGTATTGTATTAGGCAAATCTGCTGCACAAGAGTTTTTAAAGTGTTGAAGAGCAAAGATGTCAGCTTGAGGACTAAGGTATGCCTGACCCAAGTCATGGTGTTTTCAATAACTTCATGTGCATGCGAAAGCTGGACAGTAAATAAGGAAGACTATAGAAGAATTGATGCTTTTGAGTTATGGTGTTGGAGAATATTGAAAGTGCCATGGGCTGCCAAAAGAACCAACAGATCTGTGTTGGAAAAAGTGCAGCCAGAGTGCTCCTTGGAGGCCAGGATGGCCAAACTTCATGTCTCATACTTCAGACATATTGTCAGGAGGGACCAGTTGCTGGTGAAGGATATCATTTAGTAAGGTGGAGGGTCAGAGTAAAAGACGAAGACCCCCAGCGAGATGGATTGGCCAAGTGGCAGCATCAATGGACTCAAGTGTGGCAACAGTAGTGAGGTTGGCCCAGGTTCAGGCAGTGTTTCGTTCTGCTGTGCATAAGGTTGCTATGAGTCAATACCAACTCGATGGCACCTAACAACAACAATAACCACAAAGCCTTTGGGCAGAGGATTGTCCTACTTATACCGTGATTTTGGACTTGTAGCCCTCAAAACTGTGAGGCAACACCATTCTGGTTTGAGCCACCTGGTTTGTGGTACTTTGTTATGAAAGCCTTAGGACATGAAATGGGGATCCTGTTACAGTCAGTGTTCATTTTGCCTATGAGCATCCATGCCCTGTGCTTTTGATAAGGGCACCCCAATTTACTTTGGAGACTGACCCTTCTTTTTCTCAGTCCATAACTTTGAGAGAGGGCTGACCCCACTCTTGGCCTGGAGTGGGCACGTCACATGTTGTTGTTATGTGCCATGGAGTCAGTTCCGACTCATAGTGACCCTGTACAGGGTTTCCTAGGCTGTAAATCTTTACAGGAGCAGAAAGCCTCATCTTTCTCCTGTGGAACAGCTGGTAATTTCGAACTGCTGACCGTGAGATTAGCAGCCTGATTCGTAACCACTACGCTACCAGAACTCCTTGGGCATGTCACATAGATGTGGCTGACTAGATCATGGCACACTTTGAGGCTGAGCAATGAAGAAGGAATCCATAGTGGCTTTCCTTGAAACTTTTGTCAGAATTAACAAGAGCCCTCGTGGTGTAGAGGTTAAAAGGACTAACTGCTAGCCGAAAGGTCAGTGATTTAAACCCATCAGCTGCTCCATGTGAGAAATATGTTGCAGTCCACTTTTGCATAGACTTCAGCTTTGAAACCCTAATAAGCTGTTCTACTCAATCCTATAAGAGTCAGAATCGACTCAAAGGCAATGGGTTTTGCTAGAATTCGTGTGAGCGAGGATCCTGTATCCTACAGGGTCTGCTAAACTGCTAGGATAAAAACATTGGGTTTGAATGATACCAGGTTTACACCACAAGGGGAAGGACTGCCCAACAGTGACACCAACAAAGAAACGAATGAGATAGAATCTTAATCGTATCATTAAACCATCCCTAGATACAGGTATGCCTGCAGCCAAACCCACCCTCCCTGAACTTTTTAGTTACATAAGCCAATTCGTTCCTATCACTTGCTGCGGAGCGGGCTCTGACTATACATTACCTCACATAGGCTTGTGTGTGTGTATTTCATGGTATTTACTGAGTTCTGGCTGAGAAGGGCTTAGCACACAGCAAGTGTTCAATAATAAATATGAGGTATTACTACAGAGTCTCAGATCAGAAAGTAGTAGCTGTGTGGTTCAACCTCCTACTCAAAGCACTAATCCCCCCACCCCCACCCCCATCCCTGAACATTCCCGATGAAGTATGATCCTGGTTTCTGCTTTGACACCTCCAAGAACAGAGAACTCACTCTATGAAGGAGCACGCACCCTGAAAGTTTCCAGTCCCTTCTCCAGCCGCACACTCACCCTGTAGCAGGGAGAAACGCAGAGCAGCGGTGTTGAGTGCCTCCACCCGCTCACTCTGGGCTGAGATGTCCCCCTCCATCAGCCCATGCTTCTGCAGCAGGTCCTCCGCCTCCACCAGGTGCTGGCCACACTCCCGGGACAGCAGCTGAGACTACACATGGGCACAACACAGCCGATCTTGGACCTGGGTCTTCAGGCCACATACCTCTCTCCCGGGGTCTGGGCCAGCCCTCTGCTCACTTGCTCTGAACTCAGAGCTGTATCTACAGTCTTCCTGTCTCTGCCAACATCTCTCCCTGCTTCTGTCTCTGCCTGAACATTTCTGTCTCTCAGTCTCCACATTTCTGAGCTCTGTCTCCACCATCGTGTCTCCAGCTCTCTTTGTTTCTGTCTCTTTTTTGTTTCTCTCTTTCTCTCTCTCCATCTCTATCTTGGTCTATCTAGCTCTCCCTGCCACTATCTCTCCATCCACATCTCGACCACTTCCTCTGTATGCCTATATCTCTCTATCTGTCTCCATGTGTCTCTGGTTCTAACTATGGTAGCGCTCTTCCATTCTCAAATTAATTCCATTTTCCTATGCATCTTTCTCCATTGCTAACTTTGTCTCTGCCTCTCTCTCTCCTTCAAACGGTCACTATTTTCCTCTGGCTTAATCTCTTGGTCTTTTTTTTATTATTATTATTCAACAAAGCTCCATTATTTTTTATTTCGCTTTCTGACTCTGTGCTTGTGCCTTCAACACTTTCACAACGATTTTCTGTTCCTCAATAAGGAAAGCACGCTTGATCCTGTTACGGACACATTTAGCACACATGGAACCACCATAGGCCCTGCTGACATGTTTCTTTGTCTTGGACAACCTCATGAGAACTTTAGGTCTCACAGCACGGACCCCTCGAAGTCGGCCTGGGCACACACCGCATGCAGATTTTGATGCTTTACCAACCTTCTTGGTATAGAGATGAACAATTCTATTACCAGGGGTTCGGGACAGCCTAGTTTTGTTAGAGGCTGTATTGTAGGACAGCTTACGGCGGTATGTCAAATGCTGGACCATTCTGAATGCCTACTCTACACAGCGTCCCCGGAACTTAATCTTTTGGTCTTGGTCTGTCCCCACCTCTATCTGTCTTTATATCCCTCTATGATTTTCTGTCTTCTATCGCTGTCTCACGCTCTGTATAGCCTTCTCTTGTGCTTTGTTTCCCTGTCTGTCTTCCCTCTCCATTTCTCTGACAATATTTCACTCAGTGTCTGTATCCCACCTCTCCTCCACACCCCACCTACCCCTGCCCTTGCCCCGAGTCGGGCCCCCACACCTGCATCTCTTCCATCCAGTCCACCATGTACACCATCTCCTGGAAGACCTTCTGCAGTGCCAGGTTCTGCTCGAGTCGTGTCCGCCGGGCACCTACCAGCCCAGTCAGCAGGGCCCATTGGCGCAGGACGCTGTCACGCTGGGCTGACACCCGCCGAGCATCATAGTAGCCTTCAGCCGCCAATGCCTGGGCCAGCTCCGCCACACCTTGCACCCGCTCCTCATAGGCTGCAATGTCTGCCTCAATTGCTTCGTGCTTTTTCATGGCTGCCTCCACTGCTGGCAGCTCGTATCCAAAGTTGTCCTGGGGCAGTGCAGGCCACAAACACTTATCCCTACTGCTTCAGCAATCTACCTGTTGCTTTGACCCTATTGGACTCTGGAAACTTCCCCCCTCCTGTTACTCTGGAAACCAGTCCCACCCTCTTCTGTTACCCTGAAGATCAGTCCCATCTTCCCCAGTTACCCTGGAGGCCAGCCCTACCCTCTTCTGTTACCCTGGAGACCAGCTCCACCCTCTCCTGTTACCCTGGAGACCCGCCCTACCCTCTTCTGTTACCCTGGAGACCAGTTCCAGCCTCTTCTGTTACCCTGGAGACCAGCCCTACCCTCTTCTGTTACCCTGAAGACCAGCTCCACCCTCTTCTGTTACCCTAGAAACCAGCTCCACCCTCTTCTGTTACCCTGGAGACCAGTCCCACCCTCTTCTGTTACCCTGGAGACCAGCCTCATGCTGCCCTGTTATCCTGGAGACCATTCCCACTCTCCTGTCACCCTGGAGTCCCAACCTCCTCTGTTTCCCTGGAAACCAGCCCCACCCTCTTCTGTTACCTTGGAAACCAGCCCCACCCTCTTCTGTTACCCTGGAGACCATTCCCACCTTCCTGTCACCCGAGAGAGATCTGTTTCCTTGGAGACCAGTCTGGTAAAGCTCTGCTACTCTCTGTTACTCAGGACTCCTGTCCTACCTTCCTCTGTTACCGATCCTGACTCAAACTGCAGACCAGTTCCACTCTTCCCTGTGACTATTTCTCTAATCCTAAACTTGTTCTTTGGACGCTTGGTGTAGCGCTGTAGGCTAATGCGCTGGACAGAAAGGTCAGTTTGAATTGCAAGGTCAGCGGTTCAAACCCACCAGTCACTCCTCAGAAACTCTAGACAGAGTCGTTCTGAGTCAGAAGTGACTCGACAGCACTTAACAACAACCACAAACCTATTCTTCAGGAAGCAGGCCCCATCTTTTCGTTACCCTAGAAACAGAGGGCCAGGCCTATCCCATCCTGTTACTTCGGAGACCATTTCTATCCTCCTGAGTTAGCCCGGACACCAGATCCAACTTCCCTTGTCACCTAAGAGTCTCATTTATCATTCCCCTTATTTCTGAAGAGACTAATTCTGGCCTCTCTGGTTATCCTGGAAATCAGGCCCACTCTTCTCACCCATCAATCACCCAGGAAATCAGTTCTGCCCTCCCACCCTCACTTGTTACCTAGGAGACTAATCCTGTTGCTTAGGAGTCCCAGTCTCCCACTCTGGTCTCCAGTACCATCAATTGCACCCTTCCTTCCCTCCCTCCCCCTTTACCTGGGAGACCAGGCGTTGATTCTCATTCAGCCAACTCTCCCTCATAGCCACTTTGTGGTCAAACCTCTGGGCCAGTAGCTCCAACTTCTCCTGCCGGATCAGTTCAGCCCGTAGGGCAGCTTCCCGCTCGTGTTCAGCCTTCTCCAGCTCGCCCCATGCCTGGAGAGACAAGGAGGCAGTCAGATTCCAGTAGCAGCCCCAGTTTCATAGCTCCTTCCAAGGCCACCCTTAATATTTTGGCAGCATTTCTGCAAATTGCTAAGTTCTGTCAAGTCGGTTCCAACTCATAGTGACCTTTTATAGGGTTTCCAAGGAGTGGCTGTGGGTTTGAACTGCCAATCTTGTGACTAGCAGTCTAGTGTTTACCCGACAGCGCCACACCAGGGATCCTTGTGCAAACTAGGGGGGAGGTAGTGGGGAACTGCCACTTCCTTATGGAATTTTGGAGAAATTTCCTCATAAATGCCGGGAAACGGAATAAATGTCCAAATTCACAAGGTCTCGAATGGGACTGACTCTCTTCAGCAGTGCACAACCGACTCAACTTCACAGATCAACCCTGCCTCTCCTCCACATCCTGACCTCACCTTGTCGATATCCCAGATGCCGCAGCCCTCCCGGGGCACAAAAAGGCGGCGGTTGCAGGCACGGAGTTTGCTCTGGATGCTGAAGAGCAGAACCTCCAGGTTCCCCTTCTCCTGAAACCTGAAGGGGTGTGAGCTCAGGAGCCCTGCCTCCACACCTCCCACTCCCACTCCACCACCCCACCCGACTCCCAACACGAAGCTCCCTCTTGAGCCCGGCCTCACTTGACGGGCTTTTCCAGTGTGCAATAGGCCGTGAATGCCTGAAGTTGCTGCTGTACCCCACTCAACGAGTTGGCAAACTTCTGGTTGCTGATGAGGCCCACAGTCCTGTGGATCCAGGCCAGCAACTCGGCCGCCAGCTCCTCATAGCGCTCAATGATCTTCCCCACCTCCAACACTTGGTCCAGGACCTGACACAGCAAAGCAGGGTGGGCTCAGCCTGGTGGTGCCCACCTGTACCTCCCAGACTCCCGCAGCTCCCTTCCTGGCTCCTCCTACCTTCCCAATCCGCTTCCCCTCCACAGCCAGAGCTTTCATCTTGGAGAAATAGTGGTAGAAGGAGACCACATAAGTGATAATGGATTTCTCATCTGGAGCCTCCATGTTCACATCTACGGAGAAGGGGAGTGGGGGAACACACTGGTGGGCACTCTTACCCAGAGTCTGAGGCACTAGGCAGGAGGTAGGGGAGACAGGAGATCCCACACTTACTAGCTGTGTGACCATGAACAAAATAATCAACCTCTCTGTTCCTCAGTTTTGTTTCTGCCAAAAGAGGATCTACTTCATGTGATTCAATAGTGCCAGGATATACTTGAGGGGGCCTTCAAAATGTTTGTGGAAAAGTTCCATTATCTTTCTATTTCACTTTTTCCACAAAACTTTCCAAAGCCACTTCGTATAAATTACCACAGAGAAATTACTATTTTTTTTTATATATATATATAAAATGGTGAACACACCGTTTTAACCTCCCACCTCAGAGCCTTTACACATGCTGTTCTCACTGGCTACAACACTGTTCCCTTTCTGTTTGCCTAACCTCTACTTATCCTTCAGGGTTCAGCTTCACGAAATTGTCTGTTAAGTCTCTCTTCTTTTCACTGTCTGGAGTTTGTCTGCTCATACTGCTCTTCCACATAACATCTATCACAATTTGTAATAAGTGTTTACTTATGTAATGATGTCACTACTTCTGAGCTCCACAGGAACAAGGCCATGCCAATCACACAGTCACCTAACTAACCAGTTGCTGTAAAATCAGCTTCCAATCACGGTGACCACGGTGTGTCAGAGTAGAAATGCATGCCACTGGGTTTTCAATGGCGGATTTTTCGAAGTAGATCTCCATGGCTTTCTTAAGAGGTGCTTTTGGGTGGACTCAAACCTCTAACCTCTCAGTTAGAAGCTGAGCACATTAACTGTTTACAGGACCCAGAGACTCTAGCATACAGTAGAAGCTAATGATATTTACTAATGTCAGGTGTGAAACCTGACATTAGGGACACAGGCTTTGGAGGCAGGATGTGCGTGAATCCCAGCTCAACCATCTGCTGTTGTTGGTAAGTGCCGTCGAGTCGGTTCTGGCTCATAGCAACCTTCTACCCTTCTACAGAGTTTCCGAGGAGCAGCTGGTGGGTTTGAACTGCTGACCTTGTGGTCCAATGCATTATCCTGCAGTGCCACACCAGGACTCTACTCGCTGTATAATCTCAGAAAGTGGATCTAACTTCTCTGAGCCTGCTTCCCCATTGTGACAATAAAGATAACACACTACCTGCCTCCTAGAAACATAGTATTAAAGAGGAAATCGAAAGAACAGAGAAGACATTCCACAAATTCCATTTGTCACTTTAATTTACCACTGAATTCACAACATTGCTACTGGACCCTTACTCTTCACTACATCAGAAGAGTGACATCGAGTAAAGAACTACTGCGTGACTCGTGCTGAGCTTGGAATAGAGCTATAGGGGGAAGAGTAGAAGAATGATGAAGACCTTGGATTATCGAGTCAGAAAGTCATTTACTAGAATCCAATGTGTGACGGGAGTCTTGGTCTGGCACTGTGGGATAAAGCACTGGACCACAAGGTCAGTTTGGACCATAAGGCCGGTGGTTCAAACTCACCAGACACTCCTTGGAAACCTTATACAGGGTCACTATGATTTGGAATTGACTTGGCAGCACTTAACAACAACAGCAATGTGTGGCTAGGAAAATGACTTCACATCTCTGTCTCCATTACCATTGTGTTAAAACACAGTTGTTAGATTCTACCCAGGTCAGTGTGAGGATGAAAGGAAACCATTTGGGAGAAGTTCCCAAGCAGGTGCTTTGCACGAAGTATATGCTCAGAAAAAGGGAGTTAACTATTATTGTAGAGATGGAAGACTGGTGTTGGGGTGAGCCTGGATTGGGGACCGAAGGTGAAATCAAAGATGGGATTGGGGTAGACTGAAAATGGGAAGAGGCTGGGAATGAGAGTGGAGTTGTAGAGGAGGGTAGATGTGGAGAAGGACTGGGGGTAGAAATGAGGTGGTAAATAGTAATGGGGATAGGGACAGGAATGGAGTTGGAGCTGAAGACATGGTTGAAGTTGGGGGTAGGGTTGGGAAGAAAGAGAGGGTTAGGACTGGGGGATAGGGATGGTGTTGGGGATGATGCTGGAGATGATGCTAGGCTTGGAGAAGTAGAGGAAGTTGGGATGAAGGAGAGACGGCTGGGGCTGGGGTCAAGAATGGCATTGAGGGGTTTTGTCAGCGGCAGAGACAGTCAGGTAGGAAAGGCTCTGTGGGGGAGGGATTGAAAACCCAGCAAAGCTGCACTCACAGAACACCACCAGAGCTCTGGATCCAGCATAAGGTCCAGGGCATCAGTTTCCCAAACACACAAGTGGAACAATCACAATATAAAGGAAAATACTGCGAATTACGAATTGCTCAAGACGGAGCTCCCTCTGCGGCCACCCTACCCGGGCAGAGTTCAGAGAGCGGGACTACAGCCAGACCAGCACAGGGAACCTACCCTAAAAGTAGTGCAGTGACATTTGCAAAAGGAGGTGGGGGGGAATTCTACACATTTTTTCCTCCGCTTCCCTGTCTTGCCTTCTTTGCCCAGCCCGGATGCCTTCAGGTGGGTGGGTGTGCACCCCCTAAAAAAGAGTCCAGCACTGAGCCCACAGTTTTCCCACGGTACAGAGAGAAAGAACTTGGGCAGTTGCTTATGACGTCAGCCTCGGGTCGCAGTCCTAAAATTAACTGGGGAAGGACACTTTACTCCTGCCTATCTAGCAAGAAAAAAAGCAGGCCTGTCAGGCCTGACAGACAAACCATAGAACAATCTGTAAAACCCCAACATAAAAGGACACAACTATCTCGAGAATTACACTGTGCACATGCAGATACCTAACTGACCTTCAGAGACAAAAATAGTAGACAATCTTTCTCCCATTAACTTCTCAATATCTATCTGCACACCTCTATGGTGGTGACTAGAGAGGAGGGATCTGAGTGAGCAGACACCCCCCCGCTCACTGCTGGAGGCTTCTACAGTGCACACACACTTCCTGTGTAGCAAGGCAACTGGACAGTTGGCCACAGTCTTATTTTTGTTTCAAAGTGGTGGTTTTTGTCTCTGCTTTTATATTGCTTCTGCTTTTGGTCCTTTTGATCACACATTTTTCCTGGAGGTGGGAGCTTTTTCTCCCTATGTTACCCAAGAAGAGACAGCAATTGTGGCCATATAGCCAAGCTACAAGCATACCCCATAATATTCCACCATTGAGACAAGAGCCAATAACAGCTGCTAAGCATTTACATGCAAAAAGGGAAGCATATTTCCCAATCATATCCACCAGGAGACACCCAGTAAGCTTAATAACACAACAACAAACATCCATTTAAGCATTAAAAAACCCACATAACTACTGGAAATGACAAACAAAACACAACAAAAGTTCTCAAAACATGTCCAAAATCAGAAAAGAGTAACTGATACAAATGAGCTGGAGACAGACAAAGGCTCCCCAGAAGAGGAGGAGCAGGTTTTGGATTTGCCTGAGAGGAATTCAGAAGACTGATATGGAAACAAACTCAAATGTTCCAGAAAGAGATGGAGGAAAACAAGGAAGAAGTCAAGAAAGTACTACAAGAGCAATCAAACAAGATTGATATAGCATTGGAAACAATTCAAAACCTGCAAAAAGAGGCCCAGATGATTAATAATAAAATATCAGAAATGGACAATACACTGAAAGGGAAAAGGAGCAGAATAGATGAGATGGAAGCCAGAACTAGCAAGCTGAAAGACAAATCTCTTGATATTGCTAAGATAAAAGAGCAAGCAGGAAAAAAGGATTAAAAAAATCTGAAGAGAATCTAAGATTCATGCTGGATAACATGAAGAGGAACAACTTAAGAATTACTGTCATTCCAGAACAGGGAGAATCAGAGAAGTCTACAGAGGAGGTAGTTGAAGAGCTTCTGAAAGAAAATTTCCCTAACATCTTGAAAGATGAGAAGATAAACATTCAAGAAGCTGAACGTACCCCAGGAAAGACTGACCCCAAAAGAAAGTCACCAAGACATAATAATCAAGTTCTCCAAAATCAAAGACAAGGAGAGAATCCTAACAGCGGCCACAGGGAAAAGAGAAGTGTCACTTACAAAGGCAAGCGAATCAGATTAAGCTCTGACTTCTCAGCAGAAACCATGCAGGCAAGAAGGCAATGGGGAGATACACACAAAATCCTAAAAGAAAAAACTGCCAACCAAGAATTGTCTATCCAGCAAAACTATCAATCAAATACGATGGTGCAATCAAGACATTCCAGGATAGACAGAATCTAAAAGATTTTGTCAAAACCAAACCAACACTTTAAAACATCCTAAAGGGAGTTATTTGGACTGGAAGCCAACAAGAACAGACAACAGCCAGAGACTGACAGGCATGGCGACACCACCTGGAACTCAGTCGACAGATAGCAGAGGTCAGAACAGAAAAAACTACAACAACGAATTCAAAGGAGCTGGGAGGTCAACCAAAGATCAAAATAATATCAATGTCAAAGAAGGGATAAATGTAGGAACAGAGATCTGAGTGGGTGAGGATGTCAGGTAGATTACAGGATATAACAGAATCTCTTAAATGGAGGAAAGAGTTAATAGACTATAAGGTAACCCCAAAGAAAGTTAACACTTCACAACTTACCATGAAAATGAACTTCCAAGCAGAACATGAAAACTAAGAAGAAACGGACAAGAAATAGCACAAAAACCACAAACTCAGCACAAGAAGGCATGCAGAACAAAGGAATGAACAGCACTACCACACAATTAATATAATGGCAGTAATTAATTCATACCTATCGATAATTACATTGAATGTCAATGGATTGAATGCACCAGTGAAGAGACAGAGAGTGGCAGATTGGATAAGGAAACAAGACCCTTCAATATACTGCCTGTAAGAGACACAACTTACACATAAAGACAAAAACAGATTAAAAGTTAAAGGATGGAAAAAAATATACCAAGCTAACTGCAATAATAAACAAGCAGGAGAGGCAATTCTAATCTCCGATAAAAGTAAACTTTATAGAAGCAAAAGCCAGCAGTGCGGTGACACCTAAAATGTGGAAGCAGTTTTGGAATGGGGTAATGGATGGAGTCCAGAAGAGTTTTAAGGTACCTAAGGAGCTCTGGTAGCATGGTGGATATGAATCGGGCTGCAAACTGCAAGGTCAGTGGTTCGAAACTACCAGCTGCTCCGCAGAAGAAAGATGAGGCTTTCTGCTCCCGTAAAGATTTACAGCTTCGGAAACCCTGTTAAGGGTCGCTATGGATCAGAACTGACTCGACAGCACTTAACAACAACAACAACAATAGCACCTAACAACAACAACAATAGTAAAAACTTAGGTTGCTTTGAATAGACTTTTGGTAGAATTATGGCTGTCAAAGGCAAATCTGGTTAGGGCTCAGAAGGAAGTGAGGAGAACTGTTAGAGAAAGTCTTTATCATTTTAGAGAATACAAAGGCTTGGGCAACTGAATACAGCTAGAAACTTGGATGTTAAATGTGCTTCTGGTGAGGCTCTAAAGGAAAATGATGAACATGTGATTGGGCAACTGAATACAGCTAGAAATTTGGATGTTAAATGTGCTTCTGGTGAGGCTCTAAAGGAAAATGATGAACATGTGATTGGGCAATGGAGCAAGGACAATGCTTTTCATGCAGTGAGAAAGAACTTGCCTGAATTATATTCAAATGTTTGATGGAAGGTAGAACTTGCAAGTGATGAAATTGGATATCTGGTTGAAGAAATTTCTAAGAAACATTTTAAAGGCGCTGCCAGGTATATATATCCTTACTGCTTACAGTAACATGTGACAGGAAGAAGGAGATGGACTTTAAAAAATGAACTATACAAAATGAAAATGAAACTTAAAATTTTGGAAAATTCTGTTGTACAAACTAAAGACATGTCCTAGAATTTTCACCAAGGATGTTTAGCTATACAATCTTTTGCTAATGATATTAAGTCTGTGTCTAATGGATCTAACCAACTGCCAAGAAAAGAAAAAGACCATCCCTGGAGCAGCTCAGAGATCAGCAGAACTATTGGAAGGGGCACAGGAAGCAAGGCCATCTCAGTTTCAATGGGTGGGGCCACTGCCTCGTAGGTTTCAAAGAGTCAAATCTTTGCCTACTCGTTCTGGAGTTTGGGGATGCCATTAAGGTGTGCCAGAGGGCTAGAACCATTGGCCAAAGTTGAGGGGTCAGGGTGGTCATGGCTTCAGGTTCTGAGGAGGTGGGGCTGCCACTCAGATGGACTAGGAGAATGGGGCTGCCCAAAGCCAAGGGAGCAGAGTTGCCATCCCAGTGGGTCTGGAAGGTGAAGCTCAAGCCCAGAAAGCCTGGCTAAAACTCAGAGTCTAGACAACAGGGTCATTGGTCAGATGACCTCAGAGAACAGAAGATTATTTACAAGACTTGAGAGCTAATGTAAATTGTTCTTCTGGGCTTTGGACCTCAGAAATGTCTATCTTATCCCTATTCCACCATTATACTTTGGGAACAGATACTTTGGAGTGTAGATTTCACAGGTCCACAGATGAAAGGGAATTTTGCTGCAGGATAGAATGTGCCTCACATCTCATCCATAGTTAACTTAGATGGTTCAGAAGTGAAGCTTTGGAAGATAGAGTTGATTGAAACCTTTGAGGACGTTGTGATACAATGAATGTGTTGTGCAATTGGCAAGGACATGGATTTGGAGGGTGGGGTAACAGTGGAGTGTTAAGGATAAATTGAGTCCTCCAAAATACATGTTGTAAATCCTAATCTCTATACCTGTGTGTTAGAAATGGGTTGTCTTTGTTATGTTAATGAGGCAAATTAGTGTAGCAGTGGACAACTTAGTATGGTCCATCTTACTATATAGTCTTTGTGGCTCCCACACAATGATTGGGTGGGGACTGAGGAAAGAACGTCATTGATTGAATTGTGTTCCTCCAAATATGTGTCAATTTGGCTAGATTGTGCCAATATTATATAGTTGTCCTCCATTTTATGATCTGATATAATTTTCCTCCATTGGTATGTAATGGGTTGTAAATTTCACCTTCTACATCTGTGGTTTGGGTCCCATCTTGGAGTGAGTCATCTGTTACGTTAATGTAACAGATCCTGACCTCGAGGCAGGATCGGTGGTGATTGTGTGTCATCGAGTCAGTCCCAACTCATAGTGACCCTGCTTAAGGTTTCTGAGGCTGCAAATCTTTACAGGAACAGAAAGCCTCATCTTTCTCCCACAGAGTGGCTGGTAGATTTAAACTTCTGACCTTGTGGTTAGCAGCCCAGTGCATAACCAATACATTGCCAGGGCTCCTTGAGGCAGAACTGGAGGGAGCTACAGCTTGAGTCAAGGAACCCTGGTGGCACTGTAGGATAAGCAGTGGACTGCTAACTATAAGGTTGGTGTTTCAAACCCACCAGCTGCTCCATAGTAGAAAAATAAGGCTTTTTTTCTGTTCCTATAAAGGAGCTCTGGTAGCGTAGTGGTTACGAATCGGGCTGTGAACCTTAAGGTCAGCGGTTCGAAACTACCAGCTGCTCCGCGGGAGAAAGATCAGGCTTTCTACTCCCGTAAAGATTTACACCCTCGGAAACCCTGTACAGGGTCGCTATGGGTCGAAACCGACTCGACGGCACTTAACAACAACAACAATAAAGCTTTACAGCCTCAGAAACTCTATATAGGGTCACTATGAGTTCAAATCCACTCAATGGCAGTGGGTTTTGGGGTCTGGTATATCATGAGTCACTGCCTTACTCGAGGATGTGACTCACGTCACCACCCTTCACTGCCTACTGAAGCCACACCTTGCTGAAGTCACAACTTTCATTACAAGTGATAACAGAAAGAGAAGTAAGCAGAGAAGGGAAACCTCACCACCACCAAGAAGAAGCAGGAAAGGAGTGTATCCTTTGGGTCCAGGGTCCCTGCACTGGGAACCTACTAGACCCAGCACACAGACGTAACACTGGAGATGGTGAGAGAAACAGCGCACAGCCATGGCGGCCTCAGAGGCAGTAGAATCAGGAGACTGACAGGAACCAGTGCAGTAGACTTTCTGACCCACAGAGCAAGACTGCTAAGCGCCTTTGAGCCAAGGCTTACTAGTGGAGCGGAGTGCCCCTGGTTGCTTGTTGGTAGAGCTAAAGAGCTTTGTTACACTTGCAGGAACAGGGCAGAGGCCGGGCTAGCCCAAGAGGTCTGAAGGGCTGAGGACCAGAGAGAGGCCTGCCTCTGAGCATGCTTGTCGAAGAACTATTATCCTGAGTCATTTCTGATCCTAACTGTAACATGTTACTTCCCTCATAAATCCCATAACTGAGTATGGTCTGGGAGTTCTATGTGGCCACTGCAACAAATTCTCAATCCCAGCTGAGAAGTCGAGAGTGCCTCAGGAAGGGACATCTGGTGTCAGAATTGGTTAAAAACAACAACAATGAAAAAAAGCTGAAGAGAGGGGCCTCATATGGATCACCTTCGGGCTGATGCTAATGGCGATTTTCTCTCCCTTTCTTGAAATTAGAGGAGGTCAGATGCCCTGGAATGCCATTTTTCCATGGGATAAGAGAGACCTGCACCATAGGAAGATTGCTCAGGAGGCAAAAGTTAAACAGAGACAAAGACCCCCCCCTTCCAGAGCTGACAGAGAGAAAGCCTGTCCCTAAAGTCGCTGCCCTGAATTAGCCTCTAAACTGTGAGTGAATGAATTTCTGTTTATTAAAGGCATCCACTTGTGGTATTTCTTTTACAGCTGAAATACCAGAGAACTCAGACAGAGAAGGACAGGAATTTGGGATGAGGCAGGGGAGGAGGTTGAAATGGGAAGCAGGTTGGGATTTGATGATGGTTTGAGAGTTAGGGTAGAGTTGAGTCTACCAAGGCATAGGGGTTGGGAGTTCCCCAGGACGAAGTTTGGGCTGGGGTAGCACAAATCTCACCCTCAGGATCCAGCAGACGTGCCAGCCCGAGATGCTGTTCAGCCGTACGGAATGCTCTTTGTAGGTTGTAATTGGCATTGGACTTGATGAGTTTGCTGAAGTCCACGAGATCTGGCCTGGACAGGGGCATACAGTGAGCAGGCAGCAAGCGGGTTCCAGAGCGGGTGGGTAAGCAGGTGAAAAGACATCCTTGTCTGAGCCCCACTCAGGACCAGGGGCAGGTGGAGGCACAAACACAATGGAGGGGGAAACCAGGTGTGCTGATGTGCATCTGTGCAGCTTTCATCTTTAGAGTGTGATGGACTGAGCATGCTTCTTTCTATATGTGTGTGCACAGACATGTGGGTGTAATCAGTCTGTGGATGCTCTGAAGAGTTAAATCCACAGAATCATTGATTAGTCCCTATGAGACTCTCTGACAACTTTAAGCATTTAAGAGATAAGCACTGGGATGCAAGGTCAACAGTTCAAACCCATGAATGAGTTGCTCCATGGGTGAAAAATGAGGCTTTCTGCTTCATTTACAGCCTAGGAAACCCAATACAGGGTTCCTATGAATTGGAATCAACTAGATGGCAGTAGGTCTGGTTTGGTTTATATATATCTTGAAGGATCTCTGGTGGTGCACTGGGTTAAGAATTTGGCTGCTTATCACAAGATCAGTGGTTCAAATGCACCAATCACTAAAATCTACCAACCATCCTGCAAAAGAAAGATGAGGCTGTCTGTTCCCAAAAAGTTTTAGTCTCAGAAACCCTAGGGAGCAGTTTTACACTGTCCTATGGGGTCACTGTGTGGCGTCCTGGTGTAGCGCTGTGGGTTAATGTGTGAGACTGCAAAGCTCACCAGCTGCTCCTCAGAAACCCTATACAGGGTCGCTGTGAGTCAGAACCGACTTGATGGCACTTAAGAGCAACAATGAGGTCACTGTGAATTGAAATCAAGTCAAGGATAGTGGGTTGGGTTCGGTTTGGTATGTCATGAGTGTGCAAACCTCCAAGCATGTTGCATGGGGATGCCTGAGTCTGTCTGACTCAATGAAAACATGTATGTCTTCTTGGGTGTGTTTCTATACATATACCATAGTGATTGAGAAGTGTGAGGTATGACTCGAACACTTGTTGGCTGAGTCACTTCAGGAGGGTTGTTCCACCTCTTTGTGCCTCAGTTTCCTGATTTGCAAAACAGGCACAGTAAGAACAGCTGCCTCCAAGGGTTACTGAGTATTAGATGGCTTCTCAGACAGCACGCAGAACGCCTGGCACACAGGGCACACTAGATGAATGTTTCCATGACTCTGTGTGCGCAGGTGGGGCCAGCTCTCCCTGAATATATAGGAGTGGGTGGATGTGTGACGCTTACAGCTTGTGAGTGAATTTATGTCCGCAGCAGGAAGAGCTGGGCTCTACCTCCAGCTCCACCAGAGCAAATTACGCCTGATTCCCCAATCTGTCATATGGACAATGATGATGTGGGTGTATTCTGCTTCAGTGCCCACCCCTCAGCCAGCTCAGTGTATGACACAGGTATGATACAGAGCTATGACTAAGTGAGTGTGTGCAGGGAGCCAGGAAGGGTAGCATGTGCTGATGGGAAGAGGTGCTGTGAGCGCCGTGGACGTGAAGGCCTCATGCTAGGGGCATCTAAGCTGCAGGTACAGGCGGCACATGTGTGGTGCTGTGGGTTAATGCGCTGGACTGCAAGGTCAGTGGCTCATGCTCACCAGCCGCTCCTTGGAAACGCTAAACAGGGTTGTCATGAGTCAGAACCGACTCTGTGACACTTAACAACAACAATACACGTGGTGCCTGTACATGTGTACCTGCATGTGTGTGTACACATTTGTAGGAGAGCACATGTGTCTCTGTGTGTTGTCTGGATAGGGGTGTGTGTACCTGGGTATAAATGTGAGGGGTGAGTGTGGACAGAAACATGTGTGGGTGTGCAGAGCGAAGGAATGGGTCCTTGTGCCTCTGTGTGTGTCTAGATACATATGTGTACGAGGTCCAGTGTGGTTTTGTGTGGTGGGGGGTAGGGCAGAATTGGGCTGGCCAGGCCAAGTGGTACCTGTGCCGGTGAATGAGGGCATTGAAGGCCAAGCCATCCCGCCAGCTGGTGGTGAAATTCTGGATGTTTACTTCAGGATAACTGCGAGAGACAGAGGCAAAGATGGAAAGAGTCAGGAGAGGACAGGGAGGGAGGAAGGAAAGAAGAGAAAGGACATAGAGAGAGACAGGAGAGGAGAAAAAGGAGAGAGATGAGGAAGGGAGAGGGAGACAGATTGGGAGAGACCAGAATAGAGGGAGAGCCAGAGAAAGAGAGAGAGAGAGCATGCAGGTGAGAGAGGAGAGACAGAGGAGGCAAAGATTGGAACAAAGGAAGCAGGTCTAGAGATAACAACAGATATTCATACCTGGAGAAACAGATAACATTACAGGACGGACAGACAGCCCAGAAGGATGGCTGTCACCCCCTCCTCCTTCTGGGGGTTGCCCTCCAAAGAGCTCTTGGGATCCAGGTCATGCCATGCCCCATAGGACATGGAGTTGGGGTCCCATCCGAGCATGCTCCCCCTTCTCAGTCACACTGAGGGTACTCAGATCCCCTGCCCAGCAGCCTGAATCCATCTTCAAGATGGAGAGGCCGCTCCCTGGTGTGTGCTCTCCTAGGCTGAGGGGGAGGCTGGTGGATGTGCAGGGTGGCTGGAGTTTAGACATAAGAACTCGGAGGTCCACACAGGTGGATTCAAGGACTCTTGAGGCTCAGGAGGAGGAGGGAGCACTGATCTCTGAGGAGACCAAGAATTCTAAACTTGCACTTGCCCTTCCAGATTGTTGTGGAGGTCAAGGCCAGAGAAGTGATGCGTTATTATTTTTACCAGTTCCTCAGCTGTGACATGGCTGTCCCCTTGCACCCTTGTCTGCCCTGGACCCCATAGATCAGGGGTGGGGCTCACCCAGCTGTCTTCATCTGACACCATAGGAGCAGCGCATCCTTGGCTGAGCGTGTTTCTCTGTTGTCCTCAGTCTCAATTTTGATGACTTGAATCTGTGAGGAGACAAGCAATAGTCGCTGGAGTCTCAAGGACTCAGGCTGGGGAATCCTACCCCCCAAATGCTGCCGTGGGTGACAGAGGACATAGGGGAGATGGATTCAGACTGGGCATGAGGGCACAGGAATGGGAAGGGAGGGGGGACAGGACACCCAGTAATAAGGGAGGCCATGGTAAATTTGGGTCTCAGTTTTCAGAGAAGTTGTCTGGGCTATGGCCTTGATCTGAGTCACTGTCTTTTCCCTCCTGGGCTCATGCAGTAGCCTCCCCCATGATCGCCTTCCTCCTGTGCCCCAAGTGCACACTCTTGTCAGATCATATACCTCAAAGCCCTCTTATGGCTCTGTCTCAGGACCAAAGTGCAAGTCCTCAGCAGCTCCCCGCATTCTCTCTCCTAAGTTGCTGGCTCCACTCTGACACTAGCTGGCTTTTCCCTGAACCCACAGCATTCGCCCACCTCATAGCCTTTACACTGGCCATTTCCTCTGCCAAGAACTGCCTTGTCCCAGATGTCCACAAGGCTCCATTCCTCTGCCAGGTCGCTTTACTCAAATGTTAGCTTTTCCTCAAGCACCTGATTTGAAGTCTTGGCACACGTGCACACCCTCCATGTCATCTCCCCTGTCCCTGCTTGACTATCTCCCCTGGTGGCGGGCTTGTTAAGTGCTCAACTGCTCACTGAAAGGGTTGGTGGTTTGATACCAGCCACTCTACGGGAGAAAGACGGGGCTGCCTGCTTCTGGAAAATTTTACATTCGGCTTCAGAAACTGCATAGGGGCAGTTCTCCTTTGACCAACACGGTTGCTATGAGTCAGAATCCGGTCTCTCCACAGCAACTCATCCATTGGGATGCTGATAGATTTTGCTCACTACTGGTGGTTTTAGTAGGATCCCTGGTGGCTCTGTAGGATAAGCACTGGACTGCTAATTACAATGTCAGCGTTCAAACCCACCAGCCACTCGCCGGGAGAAAGACGAAGCTAAATGAGAGAGTAAAGATTTAAAGTCTCAGAAATCCTAAGAAGCAGTCTGCTTGACTCGAGGTCAGTGCGTGGGTACCGATGAAATGTGAAGTGCTCAGAATACTGCCCGGCACAGAGAAAACAAAATATAAATACAGAGCACAGTGAAAGTGGTGACAGTTACAGTTTTGAACTGAATGAATGGATGATTGGGTGAGTGGATGGGGGGATGCTGAAGTTCCCCCATGGAGAACGGGTTCGGCCGAATCACTTCAGGATCACCTGGAAGCGCAGGATGATGGTCCAGACTAGCCCCAGTGTCAGCCGGTGGTTCCCGTCTACGATGTCGTGCGAACCCACATTCTCCAGGTGTACGCGTTGTTCCTTCAAGAACTGCAGCGCCTTGTCCACGTTCTCCAGCGAGTGGATCCGCATGCGGCCGCGTGTGGGCCTCGGCTAGGGCGAAAGTGGCGTCGGGCAATCAAGGATTTTGCCTGGAGCACCGGAATCCCAATCCCAACCCTAACATAAGTCCCGCCCCTCACGTAACCACGCCCCACGTCGTCCAAGACCTAGGACCCACCCCTTCCACTGCTGCTTTAGCCACAATATCCCCAGTAGCTCCACCCCTTTCAATGGGAACTCCACCCAAACTCAGAGTCCCGCCCCTGAGCCCTAACCACACTTCTTCAACAGAAGCCTGAGGTTCCCCACAACAAAGCTCCACTAGGTTTTTGTGGTTGGTAAGTGCCGTTGAGTCGGTTCCAACTCATAGCGACCCTGTATAGGGTTTCCCAGGAGAAGTTTGTGAGTGCACTGCCAACCTTGTGATTAGCAGTCTTGTGCTTATCCTACAGTGCCACACCAGGACTCCAAGGGCCCCTCTCCAAGTCCCTACTGGGAAAGTCCACCCATCCATTATTGTTGGTCGGTTCAGTGGAGTCGATTCCTACTCACAGTGACCCTCTGCACAACAGAATGAAACACTGCTTTGTCCTACATCCTCCTCACAATTTTTATGTTTGAGTTACCTGTACATTAGTCACTCATAGTCCTAGTGTGGTACTATAGAAGAAATAAACAACAAGGTTGGCAGTTCAAACCAACCAGCTGCTCCTTGGAAACACTATACAGCGTCGCTATCAGTCATATGAAGAAGTCCTGGTGTGGCACTGTAGGATAAGCACTGGACTGCAAGGTTGGCTTGAACCTCAAGGTTGGTGGTTCAAACTCACCAGCCGCTTCTTAGAAACCCTATACAGGGTCGCTATGAGTCAGCACTGACTCATCAGCACTTCACAATTTAACAATAGCTCAGCTCTTCCAACAATGCCCAACCTCCAGTCCGAACCCCTAAGCTCATCTCTCCACACACCTCATCATCCATGTATCCACCCTCCTTCAGGACCCCTTACCAGCTGCTCCCCAGACAGCACTTCCAGGAGCCGCGTGAGCACGAAGCCATCCCGGAGGTCTGAATACAGGTCTCCGATGTGGCAGCCCACACGAGCTAGGTGGGAGTTCACCCACTTGGTGAAGGTTTTCTTCTGCACTGCTTCCCGCTCATCTGTGGAACAGACCGAATGAGTCCTCGCCTCCCCAGGAACTCTAAGCCCCCAAAATGGGGCCCACCAACCCCTCCAGCATCCCTCTAGTGCACCCAACACCACCAAACCCTGCTCAGGCCCAGCTCTCTGAAATACTCAGACCTCTGCATGGGCGATTTCCCCACCCCGCCCACTCACTCGGAGACAGACTTACGGTCCTTCAAATTTCTCCCGCCATTACTTCCATGGGAAGTGCCTTACCACAGTCAACTTGATTCATGCATTCAATAATTTTTTAAAAATGTTTTATTGTGAATTATTTGATAGTTTGCATTCAATAAATATTTATGGGGCGCCTACTGGAGTCCTGGTGTGGCACTGTGCGTTAATGCGCCAGATTGCAAAGCCATTTGAACTGCAAGGTCGGCGGTTCAGGCTCACCAGCTGCTCCTCAAAAACCCTATACGGGGTCGCTATGGGTCAGAACCGACTCGACAGCACTTCACAACAACAAATAGGAGTCTGGCACTGTTTTACCTTTCCCATTCAGTTCATTCTACTCAAAGTGAGATCCTATAGGACAGAGTAGAATTGCTCATCGGGTTTGCAAGGTTGTAAATCTTTTTGAAGACAGATGGCCATATCTTTATCACTACAATGGCTGGTGGGTTCCAACCACTGACCTTCTGATTAGCAGCCGAGGGTTTAACCACTGGTCCACCAAGTCCATGCCCCTGAAAACAATCCCACCGCAGCCCAGCAGATTCCAGCTTATAGTGGTCTTACATAGAGTGGACTGCGGACTAAAAGGTCAGCAGTTCAAACCCACCAGCTGATCCTCGGAAACCCTATGCAGGTCACTAAGTGTTGGGACCGACTCAATGACACTTCGCAACCACATAGAGTATTGGTGGTGGTGGTTGTGTGCCACCAAGTTGGTTCCAACTTATAGTGACCCTGTATAGGGTTCCCAAGGTTGTAAACCTCCCCACCCCCAATGCTATAAATCTTTAAGGGAGCAGAAAGTCTCATCAGAAAGCTGATGGTAGATTTGCACTGCTGACCTTGCAGCAACATCCCAGCTCCTAATCCACTGCACCACCAGGGCTCCTTTATAGGTAGAATGCTGTTGTTGTTAAAAGCCTTCAAGTCAGTTTTGACTCATAGCTATACTGTATAGGGTTTCCAAAGAGCGACTGGTGAGTTTGAACCACCAAATTTGTGGTTCAAGCCAACCTTGCATCCAGTCCAACAGCACCACACCAGGACTCTGTTTACAGGCAGACTAGAACTGCCCTGTTGGGTTTTCAAGGTTGTAAATCTTTACAGAAGCAGACTGACCTTTGGTTAGCAGCTCTTCAACCATGTGCCACCAGGACTCCACAAATACTCCCTTCCCTCAAGAAATTCAGGTTAGTGGGAGGCATAGACAACACATAAGTGAGTGTTGGGGAGCCAAGGAGAGTTTAAGAAAGAGGAAGTTAGGGTGAAAGTTGTGTTTCAGGGATCTCTGTTGCTGTTGTGTAGACTGTGAGTCAGAAAGAACAAAATGGCAACTAGGAGTCCAGGAAGGCGATTGGGAACAGGACCCAGGAGAAAAGATGAGGCTAGACTAGGGTAGGAGCTAGGGGCAGGAAACATGTCTCCCCAATCCCTTGCTCAGAGCAATAATGTAGTCAAACACAGGACTTTGGATTCCCTATATCCCTGGGGGCCTGGAGTAGATTGAAACTCAGTTCTCACCAATGGGAGGGAAAGAGGAGGGTGTCCAATTTTTACTTCACTATGAACTTTTTTTTCCTCTAATAACAACTTAATGTTATCAGGTACCGCTGAGTTGGCTCTGACTCATAGCAACCCTGTGCAACTCATAGCAACTCATAGCAACAGAATGAAACACTGTCCAGTCCAGCACTAGCCTCACCATTGTTATGTTTTAACCCATTGTTACAGCCACTGTGTCAATCCATGTCACTGGGGGTCCTGCTTTTTTTTCAGTGACCTTCTATTTTACTAAGCATGCTGTCCTTTTCAGGAGACTCCTGGTAACATGTCCAAAGCAAATGAGATGAATTCGGGCTATCCTTAATTCTAGGAAGCATTCTGGTAGGACTTCTTTCAAGATACAGATTTGTGTGTCCTTCTGGCCGTCTGGCCGTGATACTTTCAATATTCTTTGCCAACACCATAATTCAAATGCATCAGTTCTTCTGTTATTGTTGTTGTTAGGTGCCATCGAGTCGGTACCAACTCATGGGACCCTATGCACAGCAGAACGAAACACTGCCCGATCCTGGGCCAACCTCACTACTGCTGCCACGCTTGAGTCCATTGATGCTGCCACTTGGCCAATCCATCTCGTTGGGAGTCTTCCTCTTTATCTCTGACCCTCCACCTTACCAAACATGATATCCTTCTCCAGTGACTGGTCCCTCCTGACAATATGTCCGAAGTATGAGAGAAGTTTGCCCATCTTGGCCTCTAAGGAGCACTCTGGCTGCACTTCTTCCAAAACAGATCTATTGGTTCTTTTGGCAGCCCATGGCACTATCAATATTCTCCTTCAACACCATAACTCAAAAGCATCAATTCTTCTACCGTCTTCCTTATTCACTGTCCAGCTTTTGCATGCATATGAGGTTATTGAAAATACCATGTCTTGGGTCAGGTGCACCTTAGTCCTCAAGCTGACATCTTTGCTCTTCAACACTTTAAAAAGGTCTTGTGCAGCAGATTTGCCCAATGCAATATGTCGTTTGATTTCCTGACTGCTGCTTCCGTGAGTGTTGATAGTTGATCCAAGAAGAATGAAGTCCTTGACAACTTCAATCTTTTCTCTGTTGGTAAAAAATGTTGTTTATTGGTCCAGTGGTAAGGATTTTTGTTTTCTTCACATTGAGATGTAATCCATACCAAAGGCTGTGATCTTTGATCTTCATCAGTAAATGTTTTAAGTCGTCTTCACTTTCAGCAAGCAAGGTTGTATCATCTGCATATCACAGGTTGTTAATGAGTCTTCTTCCAATCCTGATGCCATGTTTTTCTTCATATTACCCAGCTTCTTGGATTATTTGCTCAGCATACAGTTTGAATAAGTATGGTGAAAGAATACACCTTGTCACACACCTTTCTTAATTTTAAACCATTCAGTGTTCCCATGTTTTGTTTGAACAACTGCCTCTTGGTCCAGGTACAGATTTCTCATGAGAACAATTAAGTGTTCTGGAGTACTCATACTTTGCAATGCTGTCATTGTGAATTGAGTAAAGATTTCCAGAGCAGATCATCCATTTTACATTCAACAAATCCTACACTTGATTTCATTTCAATGATTGTAATTCCGATCCATGTGTCATCAGGTGACAGTATTTACCTGTTCCCTTTAATTCTTGCATTCCTCCCTGTGTCCTCCCCTATCTTAATCTTTCTTCTGCCAACCTCACTCTTGTTGTTGCACAAGACCTCTTTAAAGTGCTCAAGAGCAAAGGTATTAATTTGAGGACTAAGGTACACCTGACTTAAGCCAGGGTATTTTCTATAGCCTCGTATGAATGTATTTTCCGTAGCCTCATATGTAGATGGAGTCCTGGTATGGTGCTGTGGGGTAATGCGCTGGACTGCAAGGTAGGTTTGAATGGCAAGGTTGGCAGTTCAAATTCACCAGCCACTCCTCAGAAACCTTATTACAGGGTTACTATGAGTCGGAACCAACTTGACAGCACTTAACAAAAACAACAATATAAGTATGTAAAAGTTGGACAATGAAGAACAAAGACGGATGCCTTTGAGTTGTACTGTTGAAGAAGAATACTGAAAGTACCACGGGCTGCCAGAAGATTATGCAAATCTGTGATGGAAGAAGTACAGCCAGAATGCTCCTTAGAAGCCAGGTTCATGAGAGTTTGCCTCTCATACTTCAGACATGCTATGGCGAGGGACCAGTCCCTAAAGAAGGACATCATGCTTTGTAAAGTGAAACAGTAGTGTCAAAGAGGAAGACCTCCAATGAGTGGACTGACACAGTGGCAGCAGCAGTGGGCTTAAGTGTAACAACAGTTGTGAGGATAGCCCAGGACCAGAAAATGCTTTGTCCTGCTGTGCATGGGGTCTCAATGAATTGGAACTGATTCCAAGGCACCTACCAACAATCCTCTAGCTAGTGAATGATTCTTCCTTCTCTCCTGCCTCTCGTAACCATCATAGACCATTTCTTTTAGCATGAAAAGCTTTCCTTGACTTATTATAATAGTGGTGTCTTTCATACAATATTTGTATTTTTGTGGTGATGCTATAGGAATAGCACTGGACTTCGAACCACAAGGTTAGCAGTTCAAACCCACCAGCTGCTCCTTGGAAACCGTATACAGGGTTGCTATGATCGGAACCAACTCGATGGCACTTAACAACAACAGTAATTTCACACAGCATAATGCCCTCCAGGTTCATCCATGTTGTGAGGTGTTTGACAGATTCATCATTATTCGTGAACATTGAGTAGTATTTTAATGTGGGTATGTACCAAAGTTTGCTTGAACATTCTTTTGCTGATGGGCATTTAGGCTGTCTCCACCTGTTTGCTATTGTGAATAGTGCTACTACGAAAATGTTGTTGTTCCTAAATGCCATCAAGTAGCTTCTGACCCATAGTGACCCTGTATCAGGCTTCCAAGGAGCAGCTGGTGAGCTTGAACCACCGACCTTGCAGTTCAAACAACTTTGCAGTCTGCTGCATTAGCCCACAGTGCCACATCAGGAGTCTGCCATGAAAATGAGTATGCCTATATCTATTCATGTCACGGCTCTCGTTCTCGAGTACATATAACAAGCATATGGATTGCTGGGTTATATGGTAATTATATTTCCAACTTTTTGAGAAAGCGCCAGTCTGTTTTTCACAGTGGTATACCATTTTACAGTCCCACCAACATAGAGGGGTGTGAGTCTCTCCGCAACCTCACCAGTATTTACTGGTGTCTTTTATTTGCATCTCTACAGAGTTGGGTTTTTTTTGTTTCTTTTC